AAGCTACCTATTACAACAAGCTCCGTTTCTGAGACAAATGAATAATTTCAACCACGTATTTATTCTGAATCCGTCGTCAAGTAAAATCTTGCGTTGTTCAAATGTATCTGAAATAAGCGCAAAGTGACTCACACAATAAACATCTTTGTTTCAGTCGTGTCTACATATGGATTTGCATAATTAGTAACTTAATGTTTTCTTGAACTCATTTTGATGAAACAAATAAAAATATTCGAAATACTCCGTGTAATATTTCACTCAGTACAGTCTTTTGTTAGACTTTGGGGTATGTCGTGAGCTTACACAATGTTAGCATTGTGAATTGCAAGTTTTAGACTTGATTACTGATATGCCTATTCATTGATCACTTAATATGTTGAATCCAAGAGACACCGTATCTTCTTATAGAAAAAAATACCGTATCTTTCCAGTTAGTTGTTGATCGTCAGATTATACCTAATTTGTCATTGCAAGTTTAAGTTTTTAATTCGACTTTGGGATAAGTTTTATGATCTATTTTAATTTCCGTCGGGTAATGACTTATTTTACTAAATATGAATCGTTTTGCCGAAATGTCATTGTTGTGTTGATTAGTATTATTATTGGAAAAATTGCGGTTTTTGCCACAACTAACTTACCAATCGATTCTAAAATTTCAGAAAGTTATTACTTTTATTGTTTAATATTTTTTCAGAGTCTTAAGAGACATGATATTTCACCCAAAATGTTGTTGTGTTATATTAATTATACGGGAACACTTTTTTATTTGGTTATAATTGTACGCCACCGATCTTTTAAGCAAACTCGGTGCTCAAAGGTTATCGTACTGTTACCGATGAGTTACCTCCCTGTCCACATATTTGCCTTTCTCTCTTGTTTTTATTCGAGATTCGAAATTGTTGGTACTGCATGTTGACCAAATGGTACCACAGTTGGTAACATATACAATACCTATATATAAACCGGTAAATATAGCTATGAACCGTCTCATATATATCTTCAAGTGTCAGCATACATTCAACTAATAATATATATATATATGATAAAACGACCAATTGAAGGATTCAACACTTGCAAACACTCTCGGCAATGGACGATCAAATAAATGACGACACTCCGTGTGTACTCAGATATAATATCTGTTCTTTTTTTAAACCCTATAACATCAGTTTCTACCTCTTAAATAAGCGTGTCATATAAATGAAGACAAATTTGATCACCATATGGAAAGCTAAAATAAGCGCGTGTGACGTCATAGTAAATAAAACCGATTTATTCCAATATTTGCACAAGGTTGAAATAATCTTTATAGATATGTGCATTTTAATGCCTGCGATAATAATTAAACAAAGTATTCATAATTTGAGTAAGTGAAGTATGTGAAACAATAGGAAAATAAAAGGTTGAAATGCAAAGTTGTGTGTCTGATCTTTATGACTTTCAAAATTGTAAATAATCAAAATCCGGAAGATGAGATATTATGCTTATCGTATTGAACCGTTGTTCTTATTGGAAATAAGCTTGCCAGAAAGAGATCACTGGAGCTCTATGGGGATTCAGAAATGAAATCGAAATTATGCTTCTGCTTCTGTAAGTTTCAGTATAGGTCACGAGATGGCAAATTGCTATCAGGTAGAAAATTCGAAAACTGGTATACCTATACTTATGGTATAAATATCACATTGTTTCCATATTTTTCACGATAAAAAAGACAGAGCAATGATAACATCGTTGCTATCTTTGTAAAGTACATTTTTGTTTACTATTTAACATATGATTTACAGGTCATTCGCCCGCCCACCGCTGATGAATTTGCTTTGCAAATTTGCATTTCACTCTACAATAAAATGTGGTGTACGTGCAATTGACCACGAAATATGCATGAAACAAATACGTGGCATGTGATCATACACACATATCGCTGTTCATACAGCATTTTTAGGCTAAATGGCACAATATCTGATGCTTGTCAACGAGGGGCCATGCAAAAGAACAAGGAATAGCTAACACCTGCGAGAAAATCATTCCGTGAACAAACTGAATATCAGGCGTGCATGATGCAACGTGGGTAATGGCTGGCTGATATAGTTTTGTGTGATAATTGATCTTTTACTCAGGTTTAAATTCATAAGCTACATTTATTTAATCTCCGCAAAGCAATCATATTGAAGACGTCTGAAGTAGTGACAAATAATACTAAAGTGCAGGCAAAATGAAGCCTAATTGCTTCAAACGATTTCAATGTTTGGGAATGTAGGTATATTATGTGGCTGTATAATATTAAATGGTTGATCGTGTTATCTGCTGACAAGGGGTGAATTCATACCAATAAAATTGAACACTCCATAACTAAGCAAAGCGCAAACAGATAATTCAGTTTTATTCATTACACACTCTTATCAAGGTTTCGTGATTGGTTGTCGACGTGGAGTGTGCTACATTCATCGTTGCTTGGTGTATAGCAAGTGTGGTCCGTAGAAATAGATTTTATCAAAAATTTTCCACGCTGTAAAAAATTTCGTTTAAAGAATCATACAATCAAATTACCCAATGATCCATTACAAACCTAAAGTCTGGAATTTTTCTAAAAAAATTCTTCAATAACAACAATCTTGTGTGATTAAAATATCTGACGGTTCAATCGTTTCGAAATACAATGTCGGTAAATCTACATTCGAAGCTCTTCTTCTGCTGCATTGTATATGTTTATCTATATCCCTTGCCCGATGGTATACAATTTACCAACCCCACAAGTGTTTACTTACTTGACAAAATTTTGATAACATGTATTAAAATTTGATGGGTAAAGTTTGTCTGGCTGTTATTTTCTTTTCTTATTTATACTTTATTGATTTTTCTCATCTCATTGACCTAATATCATAATGTGTGCTACTTTACACCGTATACGCGTGGGCCATGAACCATGATGACCCATATCAGTCGGACATGCTGACTGAACCACACAAAATGATGATCAACCATTTACTGATAAATTATTTCCTGTTTCAACTTAAATTCATGATATTGTTGTTAGTATATCATTGTCTATATTTGTATTGTGATAACTTCCATGGGTTTGGGGCCACTTAAAATTCCACAAACTAGTTTAACGTCATTATTTCAGGCATTCCAAAATCACGCAAAAGTCAGATCACAGTTTACGTGAAGTCCCTCAGCAACAACATTTTGAACAAGAGTTTCGATATGGGAAATTCCGGCCTAGAACAGAATTTGGTATGGTATTTCAAAGATATTCGACATATCTTATTGGTGACCTAAAAAACTAATATATCTTACTACAACGGTAATCATATATGAACGTCATGCGTTTAGAATTGTAAACATTTCAAAAAGAAAAATACCAATAGACCAAAATTTCGATTACTTTTTCTATTTGTTTAATAGGTTCTATGCTAAATAAGCCGTGAATGTAATTGTTTGTCTTCTTTATAGTTACGGCATTTTTTCAGGAAAGCTGGTCGTATGGTCTTACAGTTTCAAGTCAAATTACTAATTATTAATGCAGTTCATATATTATTTGAAGCAATTGTGCATGAATTAATACGTTGTTGATAATATTTTGAGTGTTTGATTTTGTAAAATAAATTCAATTAAAATTTGAAATGAATGTATGTACCCGTATGGTTTTTCATAGACCTTCAATAATTTTAGGGGCAGACATATTTATAATTACAAACAGATTGCAAAGACAAAAATCTGAATAGAATCTGTATTTCATTATATACTTCCTAAGTTATTATTTAAAAAAGGTGCTATAACCGGTTTTACCCTCTACATATTATGGTTAGATACCTAAACCTGGATACTAGGAACACGAAAAATATATTTAAACTTCGTATAAATTGGCACTTTACTACGTACGCTAAATACGTACTCAGGGTGGATTCCGAATGCCTGTCAAAAAGTACCCACCACGCATTACGTAAGACGCTGGGTAAAAATATGCCGGTATATATAAGCACAGTGCAGATGCATGGCAAGTTCTAATCGCTCGACCGCGGCGGAGGTTTAACTTCTGACGATATGAATTCCAGACATAGACTACTATAAATATACCCACGCGGGAATTAATAATCGCTGCTCATATGACAAACCTCCTAACCGAGCGGTTCCCAAACTTTTTGTTCCTGAGGCCCCAAATTATCAGAAAAAAAGCTCACGGCGCACTTACACCAAAAAATGCTGTGATCGTTAATGTTTATTTTTCATGGATTTTAAAGTTTGTAAACATGTAGGCCTAAGGACTAAAGGCAGAAGATCAACTCTGCCTGATTTTACTTAGGAATGCTGAAAAAAATACTCACGTTCGCTAAACTCGGAAGATAAATAAACTGCAGATCGTAAAATTGCAGCTAGTGTCTATCTCTATTGTTAGGTAACAATAGAGGCAGAAACTACGTAACAGAAAGTAAACATCATAGAAAAGTAAAATGAATTTATTGATTCATATACACAGCATTTAAAAAGCAAACCGTAAAAAATTTTTTTAAAATATGTAATCATATTTAACACTGTTAATTTGCGCAACCTTTGGGAACCGCTGCCTTAACCAATAACCTTAACCGACAGATAGTCTATGTCGTGTACTGAATAATGAATGGAAATAGGAATAAGCATACGCCTTGAGATAGTTCGAGACATAATAAACGCACACGGACGAACCAGATTTATTGGACATGGAATCGTATCGCTAAGTTGTCGTAGGAAATCTATTTTAAATACTTATCGCCAGACGGTTATTTCATTCATTTTCCCACATTCACTCAGTCCTGAGGTCCCTATATTTCACTGCGGCGAAACACATCATATGACATTCAGTAAAATTCTCCCAATACTTGGTTTGAATTGTTTTGGCATCGCCGATTGTCATATTCATTTGACCACCGTAAATGAAAACGTAAATTTACCAATGTAAAACTGCTCTTGAACAAAACTGCCCATCTCTATCCATAACATCTTACAAGGATCAAACATTAAACACACATAGGCTGATCAATTTTATGAAGAAGCACAGTGTAAAGCAATTAGACAATAAAGCAGACATTTCGGAATGCGGATGCAGGCAAAATTACCATTAAAAACAGAGTCCTTATTTGGACATGAAAATCATGATTACGGCAATACGCACTGTAAATTAAAAAAATGGCCGAGGATCAGTTTATTAATAAGTGCTTATTTTTATAACATCAATTGTCAGTTTGTATTTCAGTAAGCGGGATGCTTTCATTTTCTTCATGTTTCAGTGAATGACGACGTGGTCCCCTCAATGACGATCCTTTCAAACTGTCTTCTTCGGCTGAATCCGATGATGCAACTGAACAAAAGTTAGACAATGCATAAGCCGGCGTAGAAGGGTGGGGAAATGTGTATTTCGAGTACATAACTATTGAAGGTGCAATTCTACGAATAGAATTTCGTGGCTTGCCAACAGAAATAATGATGTGTAGATTTTATGTAACAGTACTAATACCAGCCGACCGAAAGGGTAGTCAAGTTGAAAAGTACTTCTATGACCTGACTCAAACATATTTACAATTCAAACTCTGTAATGACCACAATATTGAATCGAAGCCTACGTACATATTTCGACTTACAATGGTGATAATCGAATTTAAATCTATCTTCTGGCGGGAAGTCATGAAACAATATTTGAATTAGTATTTTCAATTAGAAGTTGGGATATGGAGCCATAATTTTTGTCAAACAAAGCGAACATCCGAGCCTGAGTGCTGATTTAGAAAGCTCGGAGTTGGGTGTGAATTTTTCTCGACCGCGCAGCCCTGCCTATGTCCTAGCAAAAAAAGGACCCCGGTATTTAGAACAGGTCAGTCTGCAATTCTGGATCCCTAAGTGAAAATTTGGGTAACCCAAACTGGAATAAAAAAAACGGGCCGGCGTACAATATTCTAGAATCTAGTTACTACAAGTATAGATGAACTGCGCCACCGGGTGTTAACTGGCGACAACAGTAAACAACGAGTCTGGCGTCATCGGCCATATCGCAATTTATAGTGAATGAACAAAAATAAAAAATCACCTGCTTTTTGTAGTAACTTCGGTCCGGAAAGTCCGATGGCAGCCGCACCAAGCGGTGCAGTGATAAGAATAGATAAGACAGCTATTGTGAGAACCTATAGGAAAACAATAACAATTTATTAATATAGGATTCGACTGAAAGAATGTGACTAATTTCAGTTTAATAACTAAAATAGGCTCATTGAGATTTATTCGAATTTACGGGATTTCCAGCAAACTCAAAATAGCGTTAAGTCGCAAATCACGAGGCATGTCACATGACATAACACCTTTAAATACAACCAAATATTAAGTAAGCATGTGACACAGTTGATGACTTCGAAGATGTCGATGGTGAAACTCACTTGTCTAGCGTATTCTTCAATTTCGGGTGACACGGATAACTTTCTGGCAGTGTCCAGTGCAACTGGGCCGATCGCAGCCTGTTAAAAGGGAATAAGAATCTGTACAATTGTCCGTATGACCGGAATAAGAATCTGTACAATTGTCCGTATGACCCATGGGGCTAATATTTGCGAGAGGATATCTATGATCCTCGTCATGGTAGGGAGTATACGTCACCGATAGTAGGATACAGCTTCATCTGCCATTATAGTCGAATAACTGGTAACTACCGTGTTTTCCCGAAAATAAGACCTAGCCTGAATTTTATAGTTGATCTTAATGAGCCATCCTCTTAAAATAAGACATAGTCGATAAAAACGTGTTATTTTTAGGTAAATGGATATCGGTTTTCATATTTTGTATATTTAAAAATCTCGTAATTCTCTACTTTGTAATTTTTTTTTGATAAATGAAAATAAAAGACATCCCCCCAAAATAAGCCCTAGTGTTATTTTTCGAAAGAAAATCGAAACACGGTATTTCAATATCCGACATGGGCTGGTAGAAGTCGCAACGGCCGTCGTTTGTTATATGAATAGATAGATAGATAGACAGTTTTATAGACCCTGCTGTATCTGGAATAAATATGAAACATCTATGCTGTGTACATCCAAAGAATACATATTTTTGTCTCGCACTCAAATTTAATGCCGAATTTATTTACATCAAAAATCATAAAATATGCCTCAATTTACTCTAAAAACGCCGATTGAATGCTCTTAGTTAATAAGTTATTCAAATCATTGCGCCATATAAACTGTCAGACGAAGTTCCAACACGTACGAAGTGTAATGATATTTGTTGTTTGCTTTAGATTGCGTATTGAATTTAGGACTATACTGGGACATTGCGTTAAGGAGAAAAGCAATAATTCAAAATATCCCCCCGCCTAGAATAGAACAAAATACCCAAGATGGAATATTACAAGAACTGAGATTTAGTACGCGAATATGCGTCACCTACGATTGGTGATCCTCGTCCCCCGCGTCTACACCAATGTACCACATGAGGTGCTCGGAAGATGTATTACTAATATATATATATAGACGAGGTTAGGTAAGTTAGGACAGGATAGTAATTTCATATTTGTCCCGGGGGCGAGGAAAGCCGATAAGCCTAATCATGTGGCGTAGCCTCTCGTCCGGCTACAGTACATGTCGGGTATTGTAATAGTGAATCAGTTATTTGTCCCAGATGCATGGACTTCATGCCGCAAGCGACCAGAGGTTACGTGAACCACCCTACGGCGATGGGGAGCCCATCCTTTCGCACATAATTATTTCTCATGGGATTCATACCTACAAACCCGAGCGGTGGAATCATAGGTGCGATGGCGAGCATATTCCTAACGGTTAGCATGATGCAAAAGAATTTTGCGAATACAGTATGTAAAAGCGTTCCAACGTATTGGGTGAATGATTTTATAAACAACCGCAGTGAGTCATCTATCTAAAGTCTATATCGCTCTAAACGTTTCCATCCATTGTGGTTAGATTGTGACATATATACAGATGATATGGTTACACTTATGAAACGAACTCATTATTCAAGTTCTTGAATAAATAGGCTGTATGACATCGGTAATTTGGTTTCTCCAAACCAAGATTAAAACAGCACATAGGTAATGTAATGAGAAAAATGTAAAAAAAAATTCCGAAAATTCTTTTCTTGGTATTCATAGGAACAACAATGGGGAGAGCGATAGTAATAAACTCTCCAACGCACCTCTGATTACCTTGCGTGGGTACGAATCAATCCTATGATAACAAGAATAATTATGTGGAGAGAATTGCTGGACTGCAAACTTGCTAAACTAATCCCACACCCGACATAGTCTTGGTAACCGGACAAGAGGCCTTTTCGCCGTGTTGTCGGCTTTTCCATCGCCCGGAATAAATTATATTCTATCCTTTTTAATACATCTCGCGACTCGTTTATATCACCCGGCGGTTGGCGCATGCAGCCTAGGTGACTCATTGCTGGACTCCTCACTGAAATGGGGTGGTTCACATAAACGCTGGTCAGCTACGGCTCACTCCACTTTTCAGTCCATGCATCTAAAACAAAACAGCTGACCAACTAATCCCATACTCGCTATGGACTGGTAACTGGAGAAAAGGCTGTGATATGCCATACGATTAAGCCATGTTACCTTCCACGACGAATACTAGTATCCTATCATATTCGCTAGCTTTTCTCACGTATACCTACAGATTGTATAATTACTTGTAAATATTAATTATTTACCTGAACTGTTGCTTTGGGCAACCACGACAAGCATATGAATACCTTCTCTTTCAGAGTGAAACCGGCAGCAGATACGGCTGTAAATGATGCCACAGTTCTAGTCAACAGACCAATGAACAGTACAGCTAGACCCAATCCTGTATAATCGAAAGATTTATTGAAGTTTTACTTCTGTCACAGAACCGCTGTATATATTTGAGTTCTGAGCAACAAGGAAAATAAACATTCCACTTTTAAACAGGATTGAAATCAATTTCGACGACGGCGACGAGATGGTGGAAATTTTGACTCCGAATCCATTTTCGAACTCCCAAGAAATTCAAATTTGGATAACTTTTGCATAAGCAAGCTATCTTTAATAAACTGTTGAAAATGCCATTTTTTGAGTTTCAGTAGAAAAGCTGAATTTCATAACACTATTAAACGCCCGAAATTCTGACTTAGAGAAATTCAAAATTCTCCTACATGCAATTTGAAAATACGACTTGGCAATGAAAACATGACAAATCCTGATCCCAAATCCCTAGCATACAAGAAACATTACCACGAGGAAGTGTGTCCAGGATTATGGAATTTCAAAATCTTGATAACATTGATATCCATATCAATGTACAATTTAACATGCAATCATCAAATGCTATTAGTACAAAAGCTGTCACCGAAGTCAACACTCAACAGCCATGATTGTTAAAAAAGCACAAACCATGATTAATCAAACTGGACCTACCTACCGTACTAGAATCTAATGCCTCAATAGAAATTTCAGCTCCAATTAACCCAAACATCACTGGCTCAAACATGTCCCAAAGAATGCCGACATATTCCGATACTTTTTCCTAAAATTGGAAGTAAACAATAGCGGGAAAAGCTCAATAGACAAAGAAAATAACGAAGTAGGAAAGGCAATAGCAAATATATAATATGATCTGGTGCACGGCTCTTCAAACTGGGAGATCCAACCCACAAAAGGGCTCAATGGGGGGGTCATAGTTAAATCTTTTTCGACACGAATATATGTTAAAACAAAATATCGATCAAATTTAAAAGATTTGGAATCAGTATTGAGACCCACCATCACCGAAATAGAGCCAAGATTCTATCTTTTGTGCGAGAATATGTAAGCATGTCGGCCTCAAAAAAAGTTGGAAGAACACTGATCTAGTACATATGTATCAGCTGGGTCGATACTATAATACCGCCTAGTATTATTTCTAGGAGTACGTACTCTTAGAAGTACAAGATGCCTGAACTTGAAGTAATCATGATTCAATTGCATTCTGTGATTTGAATTTAGGATAGATGTAGACAATATAGAATAAAATTGTTATATTAATACCAGAGTAGAAAGTGGATAAGCATCTTGTCTGGTTACCAGACTTTGAGAAAAATCAGGATATTTACACTTCTGTAACTGAAATACTTGGTGAATATTTATTCAAACTATGATCAAATATCAACTCAAAAGCACATATTCTTGATAATTATTTTCGGAATTCCGATATTCATTTCAACATTTCTTGAAACCATAGAACTTGTTGCTCCTTTAACAAAAGAGCAAAATACAGATATGCTTCACTAAGTTTGGATTTAACATCAGCAGTGAAGGCCACACCTTGGCTTAGATGCTCCTGGTTAGACTTTCACTCAAAAAATGTGAATCACTGAATTAAATTGGGATTCATGCTTGTTCAGTAGACATTAACATTACCTTGTCACTTTTCCATGAAATTGCAGCAACAAATGAGAGAACAATAGCAGCTAATGCGCCAGCACCGGGAAATTTGATTTGTCTTGATCCAAACAGTACAAGGATTCCAAAACTGATCACCAACAATACTCGATCTCTTACTGTATGAGTCTACAAAAGGAAAAGTTCATCTATTGAAAATACCATTATATAGAAAAATGCTTATCAGACTGGTTATATTACCTAACTGCCTAGTTTTATTTAGGCGCTCCAGAAGTGTGTGTACCAATATGGAGGTAGCTAATTTTGTTCCCCTACTTTGCATCAAGTTGTGTATGGGGACGGAAGCCGAGCAGGGGGCATATTCACTTGGCTAACACAGACAGTTCCTAAACTTGTAATATAACTAAAATGAGGAAAATCTGAATAAAATTATGGACTAACCCTAACCTGGTACACACACTACAGGAGTACCCTCATTTAAGTATGAGGCGTTGTTCTAGAATTATCAAGTAAGAAGCAATGGCAACATTTAGAGTTCTGCCTGGAGCTTGGTGAGGTCGACAAGACTATGCAATATGTCTTGAGTTATAATTTAATTACATATATACTAGATGCTAAAATAAAGTGTTTATGCAAATGTATTTGAAGTAGTCATTAAAAATTGCCACATATTCAACCAGTTTTATACAGCGCTTATGCCTTTTTCTATGAACAAGGCACTGTACAAGCAGACACTAATATCTAATGACGGGTGGAAACTATTTTTAAAGGTTGAAATCCTTCATTATTTTTAATTTATCCCTGGGTGATGCGGTGAGCATGGGATATGGAACAGTGAGTGTAACCTGTGAAGCTAACAAAGTTAAAATTGTCCAAATTATTGGTATCTCACATTAATTTTAGCAGGTAGAAACCATAATATTAATCCAATAAGAATACCAACAACAATTCCCACAATCATTTCAACAGGTCCACGAAGAATTGTCCAAACGAGATCCCCTGTGGATAAATAATACTATGATTAGTCAAACTTAATGAGGATACAAATACAAAGAATCAGGGCTGTGGCATGTTCTTATTAATATATTGGAGTTCGGGCCAGAATCGTGTTTCTGTACTGCCAGCCAAGAATCTGTAGTCGAAATTTCATACTACTAATAGCGACAATCGATGTCAAATTTCAGCCAGAAACTATAAATACATGAGGATTCTTAACAGACAATATAAGTAGGCTTTAATACACTATAGTTTTCTGAGGTTAAAATTGATTTTCTCAGGGTTGGGAGCTGGAGTGAGAGTAAAAAAATACTCAATCAAGACCACCCTGAATTATCCAATATGGTTGAAGAAACATAATGTGCATTTAACAAAACTATTCAAACTTGGAAAATGATTATGGAATGATACCTGCTTCCTGGCCATTTGTTACAAGTATACTGGTTGCCTCCATCTTTGAAATCATATCTGTTGTTAATGGTGCTGAAATAATACAATGTTATGACATTAAATAAAATTTACAAACACAATAGTCGCTAGGAATGCACATGCGCTTAAAAAATGCGCTTAAGTCACATCTGTACAGGGTGTGGAACTGTAAAATGGGAAAATGCGAACAGCAAATGGGGAAACCAACCCAAGCTATCGCCTTGAAAATTATTTGCAAAAAATTATTATTTCCAGTCTAACTACAAATAATAGTGAGCAAATTAATTGAAAAAATCAATATAACACTGTACACTATGGTGTTGGGACTTAAGTATTGCCGATACTAAGTGTTACCTAATGCCATTCATTACCGATAGTGGGGCCATAGCGTAAATCAGAGAACATATCTACGTGGTATTTCACCCTTGCTTAGATTACTTATCATCTACTTTACCTGATGCCAGTGTTGATGCTATGATGGTTTCATTCAGAGATATTGATTCAGTATTAGGAGAGGTGGAAGCTGTAAAAAAGTTTATATAACCAATGATTGGTTACATATTTGTAAACCAACTAGACGCATGTGCGCATTGGAACAACCTGAAATGTTGAATAGTAGTTAACTCAGGGTTTCTAACTTCTTCAGGGCTGTGAGCCTCTGAAGTCTGGAAAAATTCATGATAGAAGAAAGCTTAGTAAACTCAAGTATCCCAAGAGTTTCCGTAGAAGAGTTAGACTTCTTTTATCACCATTGAGAGTCTGATATCCCGGTTTCTGACACTGGAGATTTCAAAAATATAGGGTTGTGAATTGTGATAAGCATTATTATTGTTTAATAAATGATCGGTGTAGCCAATATGTTTGCAGACCAACAGAGCCCTTCACAGACTCATTTGACCATGCGGCCTCGTGGTGGTGAAACACTGAATTAGCTATTCCCACACTCTGTCCCACCATAAAGTAGGTTCACAATGAATATGTTATTGAAATGTGGCAATGACTTTTCTTTCATTGACATTGTACAATGTGCTAAATATGAACCTTGTGAAAAAGCAATCCCAAGTACAACACTGAATCCACTGATTGCTAAAACATCATCGAAGCTTGATGCTGCAATGACAAGTGTTGGAATTCCTGAAATAAACAAAACATTGGTAAAAGAATTAGCTTGTCTACAATATAACTCTCGCTGATGACATCTGCTGATTGTACATCAGGATAAGATTTTCCTATTTATCTCATAGAAGAGAAAAGATGATAAGACGGCCTAATCACATTGCGATCCACGGTCTCTCGTCCAGTTACCAGTCCATGTCAAGTATGGGACTGGTTAAAGCCAGTTATTCAAATCAGATGTTGGAAGAAGCTGTGAACCACCCTATGGCGATAAAGAGTCCAGCAATCTTGCCCGCAAATAATTGTCTGCCGTGGGAATCGAACCTACAAGGGGTAATTAGAGGTGCGATGGCAAGCATATTATTAACACTCAACACAATGTTGAAACTTAACTTTCTTCATTTCAGATATCACACACAAATATATTCGTTATACTAAATCATAAGAGGGGAAGGAGTATTTCATTTCAACTAATATTTTAAAATATCTTCATAATCATATTTAATAAAATTGGAATGACGGTTCACATTTGCAATTATTTGATAGGAAAATTCTGACAAAAATTAATTTTATCAAAGCTGTAAAATGTCCCACTTCATTTGCATTTTCAGAATTTTTTGAACTGCGTTAAATAAGTTTTAGTTAGATAATATTGAAAGTTGAAACAATGCACACCTTGATCTGTTCCATATCCCTGTTCTTGGAGTGAAAGCAAAGAGGGTACAATAACAGCAGGTGTGACGGCAGCGAGAACAAATCTGTCAAAATGGAAACCAATCATAGAATTTTTTAAGCAAAGCCTATATGCTCTAAACAAGGCCCTGCATAAGCAAGATATTTAACAGCATGTGAGAATATATTGTTTTTGGAAAAAACAAAATAGTTTCAGTTTGTCACACCCTGAGTGTGGTGGTGTGTGTGAGATTTGAACCCAAGTGTATCCTGCTATGCTGTGAACAGTTATTGGAAAAAAATGACGCCGTGCAAAAAAAAATTCAGAGTCAGCTTACGAATGATCACTTGCAAACTTGGAGCTGCTAAAAGTTAAGATGGCAGAGCCCTCAGTGTCACCATAATTTTATGTTTTGGCCAATTGCAATAAACAGTTGCACGACCATGGTATATAGTATACTTTTATGGCTGGATCTGATGTAAAATATTACTCACCCTAGCATAAATCCCCATTCCCAAGGAAACCCAAGAATAAATCTACATGTAATTGCGCATGTAGCAGTTTCAATTAAACAAGGTAATGCTGTCAATCTGATACAAGCTCCTTTCATCTTCTTTAAAGCCTAAATGAAGAAAGGATTTGCTTACATTTGACGGCTTCCAAGGCGGTTCATTAGCTGCTAAATTTGCCATCGCTCATTTCTCACCTTAACGGGGAAGTTCACTTGCCCCAGGTTATTATGAACCCCTCACCAACCAAGCGATGCACCTCAATGTTTTGGTGATAGTATCCCTCATCGATCTTGGGACTGATGAACAAACGAAAAGCCCATTGCTGTAATATCGTTTCCTCCCCCCTTGGGTAAACACAAAAAAATCTTCTCGCTAGATTACACATAGATACAGGACAGTTATGACTTCCTTGTTGATTGTGACATTGCATTGGTAATATTGGCTGGATATTTTTATAACAGACGTAGCTTAGTGAAAAATGCATTTTATGATTTCATTAAAGGAAGACTACAGAGTCAAAAAAGACAAGTGAAAGAATCCTTCTAAAATCATGATGCAAATAATACAATAGCCTATACAATCAGACAAAGATCTCACTGAAGCATCCAATTCCAGTCCAGCTTTGACAAGAATTATTGACAGTGCGATGGATCTCAAAGCAGATGACCAATTTGGGTCAATATATTTGGCAACATTTATTCCTGGTATATTCCGCAGACAAAATCCAGCAATAAGCATGCCTGAAAATATGCACAAATCAATATACCAGAGCAACACACCAAACACATTAGCAGGACACACTGGATGATATTCAGCTTTAGCTGTCATTCATATCCATGCAAAGATGATAATTCGGTAGCTTTTCCAAGGACTTCGGAAGTATGTGAATCCAGATGACGGACACCAGAACATAGTATGTGTACCATTTGAGGGTTGGGCCATGATTTTATTCCAATTTTTCGTTTTATCACGAATTCGGGGACTAGCCAATTGACTCCTGTGGTATTTGTACTTGAAATTATGGCCTAACCCTAACCTGGTACACATACTACGTTCTGGTGTCCGTCATCTGGATTCACATACTTCCGAAGTCCTTGGAAAAGCTACCGAATTATCATCTTTGCATGGATATGAATGACAGGTGTCCGCCATATTAGTTCACGTACTTCGGGAGTACCTTTTCCTATACATGATTTGGACTGGCAACCGAATGACAAGCTGCAGTTCACCATATTATTCAGCAGACTTGTCCATTTCCCCACCCAGTATGAATATAAAATATCCTACTACCAATGAAATTTCTCATTTATTAAAGACTCTGTGGGCCAAGTAGTTGAAACATCATACGTAACTACCCCTATGCCCCTCACAGTGTGATAAATTGAGTAGGAAATGCAGAACCAGAACGATTTCGGTCTTTCCAAATTGAAGTATCCATTTACATTACATTCCATTTGTGCAAAGCCTTGTTCAGAGAGAAAGACATACAAAAATACAGGTTAAACATGATATTTCTATTGAAGAATACTAACGTAAAATTAATTTTCACAAGTTTACTCAAATAAGTTATGAATCAAATACTTCAGACCTCTGCTAAATATTTTTCTAATAAATTCAATGAAATAAAAAAATACCTAAGAGAGGAGGCAAAGGGGGAAGGTGTGGAATATGAATGATTGAAACAATGAAACCCCCAACAACACAGGCATCTATAACAGCAATCAATCCAAAAATATTAGTTCCAGGAAGGCAATCATCTCCAAGTATTGACCACGGAACAGCCCAGGATAACAAGAGAAGCAGCACTGAAAATGAAGAAAGATTGGTGATAATAAAAGACAGGGGGATGACATAAAATATGAGTGGTTGATTGAGTCAAAAATGTGATTTAAAAGAACTTGTATTATATGTTGGAAAAATTTGCTTTTCAGATTGTTAAAAATATACATAACAAGAAAATACTGTACTACTGAAATGCTGATCGCATTACTACTTAGGTGGCAAAGATACTGTTGGGGTAACGTAACAATGTATTCTTTAATATTTGAGGGTTCAAGACAGAAAGGCGAATGTTCACATTTGAAAAAATTACAAACAAATTGGTGCTTTTTACGATGATATTCACAAAATTCAGCAAAGTATTTCAATAGAAAATCAGAGGAGTTTAAAATAACAGCTTTTTTGAGATTTGGCCCTTTTGGATTGAAGCCCACAAATTGATGGTCCAATAACATGCTGGGTATCTTGTACATCTGTTTGAAATGTGAATATTGTTTATTAATTGAGATTAATCTAAATCTTGTGCTTTTATTATATAATCCATATCCAAAAATAAACGAGACTTTGAACTGTTGAATGGGTATCCAGATAAGAATAGCATATAAACTCATATAGACCACAACATGCCAAATTGAGTTTATTTTGTATTATTACTATACATGACTTCTGTGAATGATGTTGAAATTATACTTACGGTGGTCTCATAAATGGTGAACTCACCATTGGTAGAAAACCTTTCAACTGTCCCATGGGGCGGACAGAGAAATGCATATTTAATCTTCTGGCATACAGGTGCGTCAGGACCTGGCTTTAACACATTCTTTACCAGGCAATTTTCAGGGCAAGAGCTCTTTGGGTCATCCATCAGTACAAAAAATCAACTCTTGTTTATTGTTGTCAACTAGAACCCCACTACAAGCAATATGATTGCTAGAAACACTTCTTCGTGTTATGGGCACAACCCTCACAATACTGCAATACACCCAAACTAATCAGTATCGAATTATCCCTATTGAAATCTAAGAACCAATTATAACATTGAAACAACAAAAGCAATTCAGTTAATTAAAAAGCATTTATTGTTAAATAATCTGCGAAATTCAATCTAAATGAAACCACCAATTGTCCATATTATACTGTCAAGTTTGCATGTCCAAGAAAGTCGGTTACTTCTTCATCACTAATTTTCCCATCTCATACATGTACGAGAAGGATGCAAGTATGCATGCGCCATAGAGAACATAGTTCATGACAACATCATTTTTTCCACTGAGATGTACTGGAACTCCTTGACGTAACTTCTTCAAGTGGTATTCTTGCTTTTGTGCAAGCTGTGGCCAACCTCGTACAAATTCTTCTCGGGTTCTTGCAACATTTCCTTGAGGCTTTACGGAACTCATTTCCCCAGCATTTCTCACTTGATTCAGTATAGGTCTGATGACACGAAGGAGCTTCATGGTCTTCAGATGCAAACTTAAGACTTATGAGAACTTTCATCAAATTATTTATAATGCATCGTCCATTTTAATAATTGTGAATTAATTATTGTTATTCACATATTTCAAATCATAAAAATCACAAAATAAAAAAGAGAGTTAGTATTCCGAATACTAAAGTAATTATAACTAACAAGCCACTAGTTGGCAAATGAGAATAAATGGACGCTCAAATTTGGGGTTCAACGCCCGAACTGCTTAAATGATGCCAGGCAAAATTGTGAACCGAAATAGCCCAAATTTTTAGTTTTTTTAAACTAAAAGCCGGTCTCGCATTGAGCACTATAGCCCATTCGACATGGCTCTGTATTGGCTTAGTTGAAAATTGACACTCCAAATGAAACAGATTTAAAAATAAATATAAAATGTGGGCGGTATTTTCACACCACATTTTAGATAGATTTATTTGGTGTGATTTGAGCAGTTACGCATATACTTCCCTAGATGATTGATTCATATACACATCCTTTTAAAGAAAGAATAAAACATTTGCTGGTATCGTATAATAAATAACTGAATAAATACTATATGTAAAATATTCAATCGTATTTTAGATATGTTCAACACAATTCTGGTAATTTTCGCGGCGTTTATTTTTTTAAATGGATCCACAATGTCTGAATGTGGATTGTTCAATAAGTAAAAAATGCATTAATTGAATATAAAGACATCTTGTGTACCAAAAGTGATGTACGGTAATATTTCCATTCCATATAATCCAGGGAGTTCCAATAATTCATTTGTTGATTTCGTAATACAAATTACATAGTTTATTTTTTGATTATTCAGCATGAAAAACCATAATTTTATAATTAGTCACAAGTTATTACATATCATGGCAAGTTCTTCTATTTACCGTCACACCGGTAACAAAATTCCTTTCTCACTTTTTCTATATTTCTTCTCATTATAAGTGAGTTCCTAATTTTCAAAATAACATTATTTATACTTGGGTTTTGATTTTGAAATATTACAGCATTACCGGTACGCTTCAACCAAATTTTATATCTTGCTGCACAAAATAACAATTTTCGCCACGCTTTTAGCACCCTTTAGGAACCGCTGGTCTAACCCTATTACTGCCGTTCTGTTGACTATCATGCAAGTGAAATGTCAGAATGTGTAATTAATTACAGAATTAAAATACTGGTACCGGTACCGTACTAAAATAGGCATAAAATGCGTCACTGTACCGGTACTTGGTTATCGACGCGACCGCTTTCGATCCATATGATTGGAAATGTGCTATGTATATCCTAAAAGTCAAAATATCCATACTCTGACAACCAAACGGGAGTTTTGATGTGCCCTTGACTTTGACCAAAGTGACTATCAGACTATAGGCACTTTGACATTGACGACATCATTCAGTCATTCCGGAGTTAACTCTGTAATTTAGGAGTGGATTATTCGGATAACCGAGAAGTATTTTGCCATCTGATATCCGAATATTATTACGACGGTTAACCGGAGTGAACTTCACTACCACATCACGGAATAAATGTGATAATTATCTAATAGAAGAGCACCTTCGCTTTCTAAAGTTAGGTTCGAATTATAAGCATAGCTGTAAACGAATTCGGTTGAAGAGATTTGAAGTGGTTGATGTGTGAGGATGGCTGGATGATGGAGATTTTGGAGACCCTATTTTTCGCTGTCGCTGTTTTTGACATTGGGATTTAGGCATATTGTACGGAAAATGAGTTGAATGGAGGCATGTGTTAGTTCGAGATGGTCTCGGTCCTATCCTCCATTCGGAATATGTTTGTGTCCTTACGAGGCTGCCGCGCAGCTACAAAAGATAGCCCCATAACTTGATCTTAGCCGAAAGCACATGGAGTAAGCCGTCCACTAATATATGGACACGTCTACATCATCATACCCCACAACAGCCGATCGCTCACCAGAAACGTTATTGGCCACGTTTCTGTAACGTCAGTGATGGCAGATTGCTATAAACTTTAATTCGAACACTTCCTCGCGAGTTCGCGACGAGAAACAGTTAAACATGCAACAGCTCCAATATCATCGCCGTTACCGACTGTATTTCTCATGCGCGCTATTGCGGCAGAACTTTATAAGGAATTACTGCATGGAGAATTAAACACAATGATATATAATTAATATATTACGACCACTGCTATTTTTTTTTAATGTTTTTGAAGAGATTGTTTCCCTATGGTAAAGAAAGCGAGCATTGGCGTTTTATTTATTATCTTTAGTTGCACTGCTGTGTGCGTTTTGTAATCCTTATGTTAAAACGGTGTCAACAAGTAAACATTTTTGTTAAATATGCATGAAGCATTTTTGAAAGAGATTGTTTCCCTTGGTGAAGAAAAGAAAGCATTGGCGTTTTAGGATTTTATCTTTGGTTGCATTGCTTTGTGCGTTTGTTTTATAATCCGTCAGGTAAGACGTGTCACCTAGCCTACCTTATTATTAAATATGTATGAAGCATATAACTTCGAAAATTGACTCTAATGCAAGTAGTTGGAAAAAGTCTTAACATGCAAGGTTGCGCTGCTCAGCTTCGCTACCCGGGGAAATGAGTCATGCGTTCAATTGAAACACATAATATACAATGTCAAACTTTATTGTTCAAATGGAATACCACACTTTATTGAAACTTATTTCTTTGCTTCATAATCAATCAAATAACATTTTTTTGTCATTGTGTAGAAGCCAGCAGCAAAATAATTATGGGCAAACTTGGAACTTCACGAATGTACTTCCTGCAATATAATTGAATGTGATTAGAGGATTGCCAAATAAAATTAACTACATCTAAGGCTTAGTTCTTATTTTTTGAATCAGGTCTCAAGGCCAAGATTGAAATTATGTCACAGAAATGTTAATTTTGTGTATTACAATTTGGTTTGAGGTCTCATGTCATTTTTCATTAGTTATGAATTCCTAAAAATCCAAACGGAACTCATAAATTTCTTAATTGCTCCTACGAAAAGGAAGAAAATGTATTCAACACTCTTAACTAAATGTATACATACCAATGTTCCAAATGACTTGGGTTCTCTACTCTGGGCATTCTGTGTTCAGATTTATATTGAACAAACATAAACAGGTCAAAAATAAAATAAGCAATCTCACATTTCTAATAACAACAAATCACTGCTAGCTTCCATTTAGACGTTATTGTCCGCGTGCCGCCTGATCGGCAAGTACTTTGCTACCAGCCAAGAAAGTTACAGATCCAAGCAGTGCCAGATACCTCAGAGTTGTAAACATGTTCAATTGGACCCAGAAGAGGTAATACAGCACAAAAATTCCTATGACAAAAATGCATATTAGAATAGAGTTTTCAAGTGAATAAGCCGAAATTGAAACTGCAATAAAACCTCACCAATGAGTCCTCCATGGAAGATGAGATTCTTTGGAGCAAGACTCAGATTGGACAGATTCATTCCAGTCTTCAGCCACTGAAAAAATAATTCAAGTATTCACTGGATACGCCTGTGAACATCCATCGCAATTTCTCACTTACGCACTTAGAATGGAAAGCCAAATGTATGGAATTATAGCATCGAAAAGGTCCCATTTCATAAGTCTGATAGGGTTACAGACCCTTAACAGGGTATGGATAAATAAAACTCCATATCAATTCATACAAGACATCAGTTAAAAAAAAACGAATAAAAGATTTAAACACAACTAATGAAACATAATCAGAAAAGCACTAAAGACCATTTTCCTTGCATAATACCAAAATAAAAATACTTACAGAGATGAGCAAGATGACCAAAGGAGCAAGACAGGCAAAAGTAAAGATGGTTGAGACAACCGCAGGTGGACGTTTCTCAGATTCACGGAATTTGTGATGAATTTCAGGCTTGGCCACATAGATAGATTCACTAGTTGGTGTCGGCGTTACTCCAGTGAATGTTAGTGTGATGTCAGCCTGTTAAAATACATAGACAAAAAAAGGTGAGAGATTCCTATTCAGAAGAATCTGAGAGATTCCTTTCAAAGATTCTACCTAACACCAACTGATAAGTTAATGACGCAAGACAAGACTAGTAACACAGGTATGGGAATATCTTTATTTAAAGGTGAACAGAACTGGGACATCGTGCTCAAACTTGCTATCACACTTAAAGTCGGTTGTAATCAAGTCTGTTGTAATCACTACTTACTAGATAAATTTGTTTATAGTTTGAAAACAACTATTCAATCTTAGGTATTGTAATTGCAACAAATAATATCTAATATGATAACTTACCACATGCCACAAGATCGGGTTTGAGATCGCGGCATCTCCTACGATCAAATGTACTGAATATTTTCCATCTTTTCCTGCAAACTGTTCCTTGCTAGCTGTACTCAAGTCTACTTCAAATTTGTACATAGATTGAGAATCAGGTTCTGCAATGAAGATAACTTCTTGGCCAGATTCAACATTTTGGAAAAGAACAAAAACCTGAAATACAAAAGAATAAAACTCAATTTCCAATTTTATTAAAAGTAAACTTTGTTGGCAGCAAACATACGTTTGGACATTGAGCACCTTTCCCTATTTTATTAATAAGTTTTTGGATCAAAATTACCTAATCGACATGAACGGGGGCATGAAAAAGTTGTTAGCCATATGATTCAGTGGTCATATTGGCATTTCTCTCCTCAGAACGACTATGAAATCCTACCCTACGCTGGAGAATTAGCTGCCCTATGCTACAGGGCTAAAATCACGTGAAAAAGAGCAGTAAATTCACCACTTTTCATGCCCAGTATGGGTAAAATGGTATCAGTTTGAGTGATATTGACTTGTATTGCTTTATACATACCTGGTGAGGCTTGATCAATGCTTTGTCAATAGTATCTTGAACTTTGAACTTCATCAAAACCTTTTGTTGTGTGTCTGCTTTCATCCCTGGACCTGAAAAAATAAGTTGGTGGTCGTTACGATACAGTTATTGGATGGTATACCACAAACTTGTATTAGTTATTGCTTAGAAAATGTAACACTAACAGCTGCCATGAGGACACTCGGGTAGCATTGCATTTCCACCTCAAGAAAAATCCAAAAAATAATTGAGAGAACATGGTGAATCATTTTCATTGAATTTCATTTTTCGAACCCTTTTTTTAGACAGCATTTTCAGTCTATCGGGCTCAGTACAAGTAGCCAATGATAGCGGTTACTATTTTTGGAACCACAGGAATCTCTCTAGTTCGGCAGTACCATCCCTAACTTACCACATCCTGGGTGAGGTCTTGGCATGGAGTTTGACCCAGGGGCTGCAATATTATATGTGAAGCGCTCTAACCAATGATCATCGTGCCTCCCTATGATAAAACAAAGGCCATAAATATGACAATAAGAAAAGAGATCATACCTTTAGCAGGATATTTGACCTTTTGCCAATCACCGGAACTAGCTTCACGATCCTGAGTTCCGATCTGAGATTCGAGAATTTCAACTCTTGTTGTAACTTTGACTCTGAACTCAATATCAGAAACTCCCACAAGATTCGCTCCGCCGGTTGGTACAACACTTCAAAAATGTAGACAAAAAATTTCGATCAAGTTTCCTGTCTCAATACTTAATACTATCAAGATAAATTCCAGGGGTCAAAGCACCATAAATATTACAATATCTCGGCATAGAGCAGTGGTTCTCAAACGATGGGGCGTGGCCCACAAGGGGGACAGGGAGAATTTTTTAAGGGATGTTAAGCTAAATAAAAAAAATTTTTTTTCGCCCGCCTTATTTTGGATTATTTACATTTCAAACTTTTCATTTATTTTCATTATTTAAGTTCCATCCACATGTTTTCAACATATTTTTTGAGTAAAACATACTTTCCGCCTTACTATCTGTTATTTGTAGCTTATTGTTAGCTAGTTATTTTTGAGGTGGTGCGCGAAAATTGACAAATTCTAAAGAGGCGCGGCCTAAAAAATGTTCAAGAACCACTGGCATCTGGCATAGAGCATATTGTAGCCTATGACTGTGATGGGAAAGTATTTCAAACTTGAATAATACTCGAATAAAATTCAGATATAACAAACAAAGTATATGGTATTACTCTTGATTTTGAGTTTTTAGGATGAACCTTAGTGATCACCAATTTATAAGTTGACGTTGTCAGTCACACACCCACAGGTAATTGACAAAATTTACACATAGTGTCAAACAGTTTTCTTCTAACGAACAAACTTCTTTAGTACTACATAAAGGTACTTACTTGAGAGTAACATCATAGAATCCACTTTTTGGCTTCAAATTCCACATGTTAAGATCATACGTGGTCCTGCAATCACAAAATTAATAAGCTAAGAAAGTTCTTTACAATTTAAGGTATACAGTTCTATCTAATTTTAATATTCATGAAGGGTTGGTCGTACAATAATTTTGACGAAAACGTCTTCAAATGTTTGTAAATCATTCTTCTTCTTTAATCTTTACATTCTATCAAATGCTATATAACTGTAAACAAAACATAGAAGTAGCATACATACAATAGACGAGACTAAAATCAAACCTTCATCAAAAAGTACCTACCCAGATGCTGCTACAGCTTTCTTCAATGGAGTGTTTGAAATGATAACTTCGTTGTCAGATGTCCTGGTCACTGAATCGGCTTTCACAGTCAAACCTTCTATTGGATGACTGAGAACATTGTTAACAGAAATCTTAATTGAAAAAATAACATATATTAGGCGATGAATCACTAATAAATCAATCTGAAAAATGGTTTATTTCGTTCATATCTGTAAACAAGAAGATTCCTGTGCTGATGGAAGTTAGCCATTCCCAATTGTTTTAATTATCACTTTTTATTTAGTCAGAACATTTGACATAGTAAAGTCAGTCATTCTAACCTGGATGCTAGTTTTATCCTGAGCGATGCTGCTGCCAGACAGAAGTTGAACTTTTGCCAGTTTCATGGTAGATGAAGAAGCAATTGCATTCAATGAAGCTACCACATTGAAAGCTTGCTCATGTGTTGATGGATTCTTGGTTCGTAATATAAAATTGGCGAGCATGATCATCTGATCCTAAAAATTAAAATAAAAATCTCTCATGTTATGAACAATTACCGCCCATTTTCCATACGTGAGCAGGTTCAAATCAATGTACAAAAAATTCCAGGATTGAATAAATAGCCAAGATGCAAAAAGCATGTCATTTAAAAACATAATTAGTCAAATCTATTTACACTCACAATCGCAAATTCACAAAGCTACAATATAGAAATATCAAACCTTAACCATTGGCCCCACAAGACCCTTATCCATTCTGTATTAACAACACTTTTTTATGAATTTGTTCCAAACTCCACAAAATGCTGAATCAATTTTGAAAAAATAGTAACCAGAAAACTATTACAACTTTTCTATTTCTGTCCTATTTTGATTATGTATCCCAAAAAATCTAAAATTTACCAACCATTCAAATTTACAAAATAATTGCGAAACAATTAAAGCTTAAACCACACTCGATGCAGGTAGGGTGGTGAGTTCATAGGACTACCAAAATGTAAACTGAAGAAGCACTTCATAATGACTGTAGAATACAGTAAAAACCAACCTCTGTGATTCCCAAAGGACGTTTGGTTCTCTTAGAGAGTTCAAGTGCTGCACGAATAAAAGTGGAGGTGGTACGAAGATCGTTTTCAAAATGAAGATATTTTTCATCGACCTCATCAGCCTGGTTTACCATATCCTGCGAGATAAAATAAACCATGAAAAAAGGATAAGTTTGAATATAATAAATAGCAAAATATGAATAATGATTGCTCAGTCTGAAGACATACACACATGCTTACAAAATCCCTACTAAAATCACTATAGAAGACGCAGTGAAACTGCGGCCCGCAAGCAAATTATTTCTGGCCCTCGATTTTGATGCATAATAACAAAATTGCTCAAAAGTTATGCTATAACATGGGCTGTTCACTATTGGACAGCGATTGATTTGTAGTAACTAGCGTAGGCGATATATGTGCCTTCCATTAGTTGTAATTAACACAGAAATAGGGGTTGTTAATTTTTTTTATTGTGTCGAATGTTAATGGCAGAAACTAATGTGGCCCGTAGGTAACGGAAATGTGTATATTTGGCCCAGTAGTACATAAAGTTTGCAGACCACTGTCCTAAAGCATTATCGTCCCATGTTAGGCAGATACATTTTCGGGGCTGTTTCTAAATTATCATAATAGACAGTAGAAGACTGGGATGAATTTGAATAAAAAATAAGAATATCAATATTCGAAAACGAAAATAATTGAAATGAATGAGCACATACATTCCCTGACATGTATAAAGACTCAATGCATAGTTGATAACAAAATCAATTAATTAAAATAAATTATTTGAATAACCACATTGATAGTCAACAAACAAATGTAGATAACCCAACTTACTGCATCATTTCAATGTAACATGTAAATGCATGTACCTCAATGTCGAAACTTTTCTCAAGCAAAGGCTTGATGTCAACTTTTGCATCCAACTTTGAAGTGATCAAAATTCCGAGAGATGAGGAAAGCACACTGTCATCTTGAGCAAGAGCTTTAGTTAGAAGCTCAACAACACTGTTTGATGAAACTGGAAAGAATATTATAAAATAAGATACCAAGAAATTCCTTAGGTCTTTCCAAGGTTTTTGGAAATACAATAACAAGAAAGTCACAACAAGAATAGGTGAAGGAGGAAAATTCATCATTTCAAAATATTTACGATCTGAAAAAATTAATATATTTTGGAATGTATGATGCGATTAATGATTAAAAGCTGACAAAATTTCACTTGCATGTCCTGAACTTAATAAAAGTTTTCTGCTAAATAGGTCATATAGCATGAAATAAAATTTGGGGGTAACAAATTTAATTAATGGGTAAATTTAATCAATGGGTGCATTAGTAAAAAAAACTTGGTGTTGCATCTTTCCCGCAAGTCTTACAATCATGAGCTAGCAACAAATAGGTTGAGTTTTGAACATGGATCACTCATCGTTAGATTGAATTACGACTGGGCTTGGTACAATTTTTTTATCACAATCTTTTGAAATATTCTTCCAGTGATTGGTCACAGAAAACACATGCCGGGTAACTTTGTGACCCAGGGGTTGGTTGGTGGGTTACCATCCCTGCACTTATAGTTATCCAATGAATATTACTCAGCAATAAGAATGATCAGAATATTTTATAAAGTTACATAAACTTATTAAATTACTTCAACTTCTGGAACTGTCCCATCTACTACCAGAAACAGAATCACAGCAAAAACTAATTTTCCAATTCACTAGTTACACTAATATAAAAGTAAAACTTACACTTTTTTCCAGCATGTGATAGCACAGACACTGCATGGTATAGAGACTTCACATCAGATTCAGCAGATAATTTCTTTTCGACAGAATCTATGGCTGAAGCTGGGAATGTGTGTTTGCAAGTTGCTCCAAGATTAGCCACAATAGATGATGCATAGAACAACGACTCCAAACTCTTTGTGCTGGCCGACTTTGCAGCTTCGCAAGCAGCCTGAAACAATTATACACCAATGTCAAGTTTCTTCCAGTATAGCAAGCACTACAATGATCCTTTTATAATTTATTTAAAACATTGTTCCTTTTGTATAGATCTATCCGCATAAATAAGAAAATAATGTTTATTTGAGCAATGCAATGAACTAGCAGTTGAAGTGTTGACTTAACTTGGTTGGTATAAAAAAGTACACCTCTGATTTTCAAATCCCATGCACAACCCCACTGCCCCACCCCTCCCCAGGGTGATAAACTGTGTGGGTCAGGTCGAACTGAAAAGATTCCGGTCCTTCCAAATAATAATAGTTCCTAACATATTGTTAGACATCAGTGGCTGCTTGAAAATGACCTTGTTCAGAGCGAAAGGCATGAATAATTAAAAAACCTTCTCTTTGACTCACCTTTGTAACAGCAGTTGATGCAGCTCCTCCTTGCGTCAATTCTTTCAGTCCAGAAACCGCATAGTAGGCATGTGCAATATCAGAGTATGGAGTTTCCTGAGAAAGATTATGGACATAATAAAAATGCAGCTTTTGCATGATTAATTGCTGGCATGACGGCACCATAGATAAACTTATTCACTTGAATGAAATTGATAATCTTCATGTAGTGTTTATAGACCAGGGTGATAACTTGTTAGAAATAAGAATAAACAAATATAAAGACAAACTACAGAACTAGTGTCAATGAGATGAAGAGCCTGTTCAAACTCAAAACCATACCACACTAAAGTCAAATTTAATATTCAAACTATGAGCCACAAATTAACTGAGCCAAGAAATACAGAAATAGCTCTGAAGTGAGATTCATTGGTGAATTATTGATAAAACAGTTCTCACCGAAAGTAGATTCCTTATGTTTTCTTGCTCACTTGGTGACAAAACTGATGAAAGTCGAATAGCAGCTTGGGAGAAGCATACTAACGACAGAAGAATCAAAACTGAAATATAAATACAGAAATAAACATTTAACATACCGGTACTAATAACTAAACATCACTCAGTCTCTCAAAACAAAAATAGCTCCTACAATCATTGAGACCAAAGAATTCATCAAATGAAATTGGTGTAGGTTACTGTATGCTCGTACCTGTCGTACTGTCATAAGAAGCTACGGTAATTAAATGAATGGGCATAAACTCTGCTTACAGCATTTGATGTAAACCTTTCTCTAGATTTTGCCCTGTGCAGATCTGTCCCAATAACTAGGACCGAGATATATAATCTCGCAAAATAGATAATAAATGCTCACCTTTCATGTTTGAACGAAGCAGATACCTATACGATGACAAAACGATCAGAAAACCGAGGAAATCAGCAAACTCACCAAATGAAGAAAACGACACGAACCTCGCCTGCCACGCTCCAATGCACAATTCGCCGGGTGATTGCCAACGTGGCACTGGAGAATTCATGTCAAAGAAAATACAAATTTTTAGTGGTTAATTAAAGCGTAAATAATTGTGTTGAACCTATGATTATTAGATGTTTTGTGAGACTTACTGAGTTTTTATTACCAACATACGAAGTCTATCATAGTTACTGCTTTGGAAATCAAAGTAAAACATATTTCTAAAAAAAAAGACTGTAGCAGGTTAGGACAGGATTTATATATTCATCCCAGGGGAGAGGGTAGCCAATAGGGCAGCCTAATCATTTGGCGAACCACGGCCGATCGTCCAGTTACCAGTCCATGTTGAGCATTATTACCATGATTAGTTACCCAGTATTTTGTTTTCAGATGCATGGACTTGATGGTGGCAGAAGCCGTAACCGTCGAGCAAGGTTAAGACATATTCGCAGGCTCTAATCTGGAGGAAAGATGTAGAAAAAATTGAAAAAAGCCTACCATCTATGCAAAATCTAAGATTGAATATTAGGGGGCAATCGAAAATTAAACAAGATTCTCAATGTTAAACCGGAAATTAATACTAATAGGATACGGTTAAACCGTAAATATATGGTTAAACGCAGTGGCGGCGCGTCAATACGGTTGTTTTTTTCGGTATAATAAAAAAATTCGAAAAATACCTCAAGATCGGTTGCACAGACTGTCTACACTAGCCATATTCTCCCGACATGGTTCATTTTTCGCTCGCAAAGCCTTCGCCGAACGTCGACGGGGCGACGCCGATTTTGCCCCGGTTGCTCATTGTATATCGTATTCTCTCTTTTATCTTCCACTCGCCGCGTTTGTCTCGTTTGTTTTCTGTTTCTTTTACTAAATCATCGGGGCCGATCGGGGCTAGCCCCGAAATTATGACGACACAATACCGACGTTTCTTACAACAACGTGTTGACATATTCACGCATTCCTTCTCGTTCGTTGGTTGCTTGAAGAGTTGATAGTTTCCTCGCCTTCGTTTTTGTCGCTTGTTTCGCTATTTGAATCAGTTAGAGACCTTTAGTCCATTTGCTTTCGATTTTCCACATTCCTTTTGAGCTCCTCACTTCTTTCCGGCTTCGCATTTCTTAGCCATAGACCTCATATTGAATAAGGTTGATGCACTACTTCGCACTCCGTTTTCGCAGCTGCCGCTGGAACAAAAATTAGAGGTACAACGTCTTGGGCCTTATCAACCAAAAAATTGTTCACTGGAACAATCCCATGACGGAGGAAAGCGTCGGCGTACATTCTGCGCAGAAACTTGGTATAAAAAACACGAATTGTTGTGTTACAGCGAGGACAAAAATGCACTTTTTTGTTTTTATTGCCTACTTTTTGCTACCGCCCGTGACTCACGTTGGTGTAAATTTGGTTTTAGAGATCTTAAACATCTTTCCGAGCGTGCCAGGGATCATCAATCTTCTATGGAGCATCTGCACAATGCAGTAAAATACCGAACATTCGGAAATGTTAATATTGCAGCACAGTTGGATGAAGGATGCGCGGTTTCTATTCGTCGGCACAACCAAAACGCCGAGAAAAACCGCCATGTTCTCGGTCGATTGATAGATGTTTTGAAGTTCATTGGTTGTCACAGGCTGTCCCTCCGTGGGCACGATGAACGGGCTGGCTCTTCTAATAGAGGGGTATTTTTGGATATGGTGGAATACACCGCATCCCTAGATACAGTATTGAGAGATCATCTTGATGCCGCAACTGTTTCGAAAGGGTCATCTAAGGATATCCAAAATGATTTGCTCGACTCAATGTATAAAATTTATTTACAACATTTGGCTCTGGAAATTGAGAATTGCCAGTTCCTTTCGATTCAGTCTGGCGAGACAACTGACATCACGTGCGTTTCCCAACTGGCTGTGATTTTTTGGTTTGTGAAAGATGGTAAACCTACCGAGAAATTTCACAGCTTTGTACCAATCGTTGATCGCACGGCTTGCGGGATATCGGCTGTACTGAAAGAAGTGTTACAGCCTTACAACGCGAAAAATTGATAGCTCAAACTTATGACGGCGCGGCAGTCATGAGTGGGTCGAAACATGGTGTTCAAGTTTATATAAAAGAAGATTTCCCTCATGCGCATTTTTTACATTGTTATGCACACCAATTTAACCTCGTTATTAAAAATATGTGTCTTGATACCCCTCTCGTCCGTATATTTTTTGCAAATGTTTCGAGGTTTTCCTCATTTTTTCCGTTTCGCCGAAGCGCTCTGACCTCCTTCGCCAGATATGTAGCCGCCGTCTCCCAGCTTGTGCACCAACACGTTGGAACTTCCAATCACGCGTGGTGCAGGGCGTATCCGAAATTAGGTCTGAGCTTTATCGAGTGTTTCAATGGGATTCAGAGCTCTCCGGTTTGGGAGGAACGCTCTGTCATGAGATGCTGTTTTCCCCTACAGACATGTGACTCCACTAAAGACCTCACTCAATTGTGTAAGCCATGCCGAGTAGGAAAGACTACATTTTTCCATCATCATAATAGCTTCTTAGACTTTAGTGGATTCGTTTCTTGGCCTTATTCGCAATATTGTAAATCAGCGCATAACAATTGAAACCCGTAATAGAAAGACGATGAGTCTCCCCGCTTGTGTCTCGACCTCTCGCCTTTCCAATCTTCCCAATCATAAAATGAAAGACCACGAATCGTTCAATTATATTGTTCTCCTTACATTTTTCAATTCACTGAAATATCGACAGAAACATGACCAAACTATATTTCTAAACACTAGATTTATGGTTAAACTATATCCTAATATGAAATTCATTGTCGTGCTGATTGCAAGTATTGTTATTCTTGTTCCCAATCCAGTCAATTGTGTTAGACGGCGTGTGATTCGTACAGCTGATGAGGAGTTTTCTGACAATGATAACAATACAGCCTACTTGTGGAGTAGATTATGGGAAGATTAATGCTACTATTAAGTACATGATAAAATCGTATGGGAAAGCCATTTCATTCCTTAGTTGTTAGACTTAATATAAAGTTAATAAGTTCACCTAATATCCTTGTTTATATTAGCTTACTTTTGATTGCATAATAGAATTTTCAGAGATTTTTCCATGGCAAATGTATGGCGCAATATCACAAATTTTACTGTGAGGTCTGTCTTTTGCAGTGCCAAATTACAAATCAGATATCTGCCACTAAGTCTTATAACAATTCTCTGTGAGAAGTAAATGAAAGATAAAAATAGTCGTAATATTTTTGTTTGGAAAATTTAAACTTCGAAATAATATTCCTGGTGTGTCAATTTTAATATGATAATTTAATTTTTAGTCGAAAATGACTTGATTGCAAAAAGAAGAAAAGTAAGAAAGTCGAGAAATCGATCAGAGGTGCTTGCTTGATATGTCAGCAAGTTGTGTCGGTAATAAAAGAATAAAATTCAAAACCGCATTTTAGAATCTTGTGAGCAATGAGCATTTTTCAAAGGGTAAGATTTTGCTCTGAAAAGCTCATCGATGTTCGAAAGCACTTACATTTGCGGAAGCACGTTTTCCGTTATGTAGAGTTTGAAATTTTACATTAAATGTAAATATAGAAAGACTTTTGCAGGGTTTAGTAAGTTTTTTGATGGGGACCAACAAGACAACTTAGCATCGGTTTTGTGCATTGGTAAATTATTCACTTCAAAATGGCGGCTATCTCTTATTGAAAGAGTCCAACCAAACTGGACTATCGACACCTGATAGCCGATAAAATGGATAATTTTATCCTAATGATTATAATATCCACGTAAACGAGACACGTCGATCGCACACATTAGAATACTGCCTTCTCAGATTATGCCATTATGCGATATCCGTTTGGTATCACCGCAAATGTTTCCTTCAGACACGTACGTCACATATACTTTTAAATCGATATTAAATATTGAATGAATTGGTAGTAATTCAAATCAAAAATGGCCTTTTGACATCAAAACTGCATCTAAACTAATTACATCTGCAACGCCACAAGGACGACATCTGGAACCATATACAACAGCCCACTTCATTGGAGGCCATTAAAATGCTGATTGGGGTCATGTATATATCTATTCCTATATTATTAAGTGAACATCTTTTCAAAAGATTACGATGTCGGTATATCGGTAATGCTCTAAAATTCCCACAACAGAATATCAGCAGTATATATCAGTTCTGTTGTGAAGATTTTAAATAGATAAATTTATATATTAAACTTTATTTGATAGAAACGATCGGCTCTCGCACTGAGATTAATTAACGAATCGTCACTGCGATATCAAGCGCAATGAAGTTTCTAATTTGAATTAATTATGGATTGCTTGGTGCATGTATATCGCGTTCCCACAATCGTATTTATTTTATGGGATGTTTATTTATTTTAGAGAGACGCAGACGAATACATATCTTTCTATCACCCGGGTGTGTCTTGTCACCGTCATTAATCCCTCCTAACTATCATTCATAAAAATAAACATCGTTGTTCTGAACGAAAATTGTCTTCGATTCAGCATTATGGGCGAGGATGGGCGAAGACCTGATTAATTTGCCATATATACTTACAAATCACGCACAAAAACGATGAAGTTATTTTTTTATTGACACGGAAGCCATTTTAATGATTAATTACCCATCACGTACATGTGACGTGTAAATGGTCAGCTCAAAGAAATGGGCGTTTTTAATGCAGTAATTAAGTCACATAAATCCGAATTTGTACTTCGGTATAATGCACTATTGTGTCATCCACGTAGATAGGTGGTTTATACGTAAATAATTTAATTTATAACTAAGAACAATCGAACTTAAATAATTCAACAATAATAAATTCCATGCAAACGAAACTTGAGGAAAATATAAAAAAAAATCATAAGTACGGTAGTTAGAATAAAACATATAATATTTTAGACATTTCCTTTGCAGGAAAGTATCGGAAATGAAATCAGGCAATAATATTTATATCTTTCCGACTCCTTACATTAATTTGTGTCTTCGCATCCACTGCAACATTCTGTACCCATCCACGCGGAATCCTTTCATTTCTCCACGCTGGATTCTCTGTATGCTTTCTTCAAGCCTGCTTCTTTTCGCCATGATATCTTTTAGCAAGATTCAGTGGCAACTTTCTGAATGATTCCCATTCTTTCACTGCTTGGTATTTTGCAACCAAGGATGCTTCAATACTTCATTCAAATCAGGTCTGGCATCTGGTTCGCTACAGAGTAACCACATAATAAGGTGCTTTGCCTTTTGCGAAACTGGAGCCTAAAAGAAAAGAAATCGAAGATTAGGAATAAAACCTTTTAGCGAAAATGTAAAATAAATACATCGTAAAAACAAATTTCTATGTTTTATATTTCTTATGTGACCAAGTATGGAGCATTCGAGAAAAGAGATTATGATACCCTATTTCAGACTGATAGTTTCATCAGATCAGCACATTCCTGTCTTACCTTAAATGTGAGAATATTTGCCATAATTTTTCCTTTAGTTTTGAAGGGTATTTCTCCGCATAACATATCATATAGTAAAACGCCGAGTGACCATGCAGCAGCGGAGCGTCCTTGGTAAACACGCTGAATAAAAATTGAAGAAAAAAAACACAATTAGAAATATTTATAGGAGAATACATAGATATATTGCTAAATTTTTAACTAATTTCAAATGTAAATGATATATCATGAATAATATAATCAAATATATTTCACTTGTTTGTTTGTTGTGCATTGCAATGCCTATCAATGGTAGATTCTCATTTTAACGTATCCACATATGATAGTTTTACTTTAGGTGTGTAATTGCATATTTGGAAATAATTTCGACGTCCGTAATTTTACAAATTAACATTTCTTACCTTTGAAAACCATTCGGGTGGGTAAAACTCAGGCGTCCCAGAGAAGTCAGTATAGGCACCGTCGTGAAGGTTGGTACCACATCCAAAATCAATGATTCTTGGCTTCTTTGTTTCTCGATTTATAACTACATTTTCATCTTTGATATCACGATGTAAAACGCCACGAGAATGAATATGTTTCACTGCTTCCACGACCTAAATACAATTGTATAATTTACAAAATAGTTCATAAAAATCAACCCCTGCTTAGTCACTTCCATCTAACGCGAATTACAAGAACGTAAATTAGAATTACCACTCTCAAATGTTTAATTATCGACGAAATGCTTGATAAAGAAAGAGAGTAATTACTACATGGTCGGATAGTCATTCGCTTCAGGATTACATTGATTTAAATAGAACACCTTAGTCCAAATACACATCATTATTACCAGAAATGGAAGGAATAAAGGAGACAGACAAAAATATTTATATCCTGATTTCACACCCTGCGACTCACCTGTCTGAATATGAACGATGCTTCGTCTTCCGTGATTGTCCCCACTTCTCTGATATAATCAAATAAGTCAACGCAGTTGTGTGGTCTCTCCAAAATTAAAATGAAGGAGTCGAGACATTCGTACCAATCAAGAAGACGAATTACGTTCTTGTGACCGTTCACCCTGAAAATGAACCAATAAATATTTATGTTTGCGTCAGTTGTTTACGACACCGACCAAAATAAATTACGTAACTTTACTACAAGGTCGTTTGTGAGCGTTTTGTTATTGGTTGTGAAAATTCTTTTGAATTTATAAATTACTTTTGATAGTTTCATATTCGCATTTTTATTTGGTCAAGGATTTTTTGATCATCCTCTCTCTATTCGTCAAATTGACAAATAATTTGATTTGAAAACTCCAACAATTGAATATCGAAATATTTGAAGATATTCTTTGCCTAAGTCTGGGGCATATCCTTGATGAAGCATGAAATTGATTTCTGGCAATAACCATCAAATATTTTAAGTTTTACAGGGCTATGGGGGCAGTGAGCGTCATTCCGGGACAATATGGACTATTTTGTTCAAGTCAGGTTGAATTAAATTCTCTCGTGTATGGGACAACTAAGAACGATGAATTTCAACCAAATAAAGAAAAGTTCCATTTCTTCAATTAGTCACTTTTTGCCCTAGCGGAGTACAGTCCATATAATTTGTCACTTTTAAGTTATTCATGAAAATACTTACTTTAGCATAAGGACAATTTCTTGTGGAACTTTTCGACCTTGAATTTTTTCCCATCTCTTGATTTTTTCTCTCATGATTCTCTTGATTGCAATAGGCTTAGAATCAGCTATTCTCACGCCTGCATACACAGTTCCCCCTCCACCTACACCAAGTACAGACTGAACTTCATACATTCCGAGAAACATTTTCCTAAAAATTGAAATACAATTTGTAAAAAATATTTTCGAGATTCATACAAATATTATATTGAATTAATTTGAAAATACCTCGACGATTGTTTCAATTCTTTCTTGGCCTTCTCTAATTTCGTTTCTATTGTAGATTTGGTGTATGTGGCATTTTTGTTTTTCTTTTGATGAGCATTCGCGTTTGTGTATATCCTTTGTTCAACTTTGGGTTCGTCCAATGTGATGTTATTCGATTTTCTGTTGGGATAACCCCCGCAGGTATCCCGCAATTTCTCAAACCTCTTTATCCGTTCTTTGATTGGCAAAGTCGTTTTGTTTTCTGTTCGTCCGGATTGGATGCACAAGGAATCATGTTGTTGTGGCTCCGGATATTTGTCGAATGGTTCATCAACTTCCATTTCATTATTTCTTGGTTTATTCCGCATTTGCGTTTTTAACATTTCAATGCTTTTCGATGAGGCTTTTCTCTGACATATCAAACCACATTCTGGAGTTTTGGATTCGTCTCTGTTGGAATGGTTTACCCTTTCATGAACCTTGATAAATGATTTCCTTGTCGGTTTAGCAGGCCTGGTTCTAGGCCGCACAGCGTCCTTGTCCAAAACATCACCCGATTCGTTTCTTTGATTAGAATGTTCAACATACCGGCTTCTCTTTTTCGTTCTCTGATTACAGTTATAAGACGAAGAAAATTGGGAATCGGATGTATGTGAATCACTGGGCGACTCGAAAGATCTTCCCGAAGACGAAGCATATCCAGAGCTTTCGTTGGACAACATAATTGGCGATATAGAAGTCGGAGACACTGCCCCATCTGCTGATATCTTTGTCACTTCTCTGTATTGATCGCAAAACGAAAATGCCAAGTTTGTCCTACTTCTTAGTCCTTCCTCGATAAATTTAGTCAACGGTATTCCTTCGTTTGCAACATTTGGGTTTGTTTGAGAGTCTCCTGACTCCAAAAGGCTGTAATAGGCGTTAACAGGGTTTGAATCCAAATATCTTGGGTCATTGGCAGTCGAGGCCATGACTTGATATGAAAGGTGAGTGTTATAATGTCCATAAGTCATCCGCATGGCACTGTGGTAAGAGTCTTCTGCGGTTACACGGGGGCAAGGTTGTCCTACGTAGTATGGAGTAGTGTGAGTCCGCAACATCCCGGCCAAATTCGGGTGGTTGTTGGCAATATCATTAATTGATACCAATCCTACAGCAGGTGTAACGGCACAATACATTCTTTATAATAATCTGTCATGAAATCAAAAAATTCATTAAAGACACACGATTAATAAATATTTTACACCTAAACGCCTTTTTAATTTTATTCAAGTAAATTTTAAAAATAATATTACTGAATCCAATGCTGAGCTTTGCCCTTCAGAGTATGAATTATTCTCAGTTACGGTACCAGTTACTGTTTCGCTTATAGTAAATTGATTTTGAACAAGGAGCAAATCATTACATATATTATATATCAAAATACTGAGGAATATTAGGCTATTGAAAACGTCAAACTATCACAATTGTTGTAGAAATATTATCCTGACCCGTTCCTTCTTTTATTTTATTCAACAAAATAGTTTTTCTATCTTTACAACAAAAACACTACTTCACCACTTAATTCATATGACATTGCATTACTATTTTGCTATACTCAGAACGAAAGTCCACATACGAAATATTACGTGTTTCATTGTGAGCGACTTAGTAGGTCCTTCTAATTTGCTTATAGAATTAATGACTCTCTTCTCTTTGCGACTTGCAGTTGTTATGCTACCCCGTTTTTAAATGACATATGTTTTCTTCACTCCTCGCCTTTTTTCTCTTACGTATTACGTTGATATTATGCGCGCACACGTACTATCGCAGCAATTCGTACGTATTGGGTGCGTTATCGTCCGTAATTACTAGATTGTGCTACTTTTCACCCTAATCTCGCTACATGATAATAATTCATAATTGTGTCTCAATTACTGCGATGCATGAATAGAAGGACTCTGTCGCACATTAGCAAGAAGCTCGTCGGCGTTCAATCCAGCGCAATATGCGGCACTTGATAAGAGATAAGTTTAGTAACCTCTTGCATTCTTGTTATAATGAGATATCTGGACGAAGAACGTAAGCATCTCAGTTTTAGATGCTTATTTCGCAGCTCGGCATATAGCGATAAGTCCAGAAAATCCCTTTTCGCGCCAAAAGTGCGAGAGTACGATCGCGAATTAATTTAGCACGTTGGGAAAGATTACATCGATCTGCTTTTTCGAGGTCAGTGATCAATCTATCGATGCACCAGCCCACCATACTGTTGAACACCAGAAAACGCTAATCGATGACCATTATCCGTTTTCCTGCTTGGTCATCATGTTTGCCATTAGTGGTCATTCTGTGTAGTGCTTTTGAAAAATTCTGAAAAAAGATCGAGCAGCAGACAATATCTGTCGCATACGGTTAAATTATCGACAAAAATCCATGTATATGCCTACAATAAAATGGGCAGCAAAAATGTTTTCTGATTTGTGCACAATATGCTGCAACCAGAATTCGAACAATCCGAAATAAATACCATCTAATTGCTCGCTACAAATACGAAGTAGGCTATGCATTTCTCAATCAAATGGAAACTTTCGTGAGATGTTTAGAACCATATATACATCAATAATTTGAACCCTATTATCTAATTTTTAACGACGAATTTTGATCTTATCTTACAATATTTATCCTATAGCTCAAATGTGTCATATACTTAATTTTGCCAGAATTTGTAAACACGACAGAAAATTAGACAAAGACAATTAATTTTGCCAGAATTTGTAAAAACGACAGAAAATTAGACACCTCACCTAATCACGTAATCACGCCGTCTTCAAACAGCTTTCATATTTGTTTGCGAAATAGTGAAATTCCATGCATTTCCTTTTTTAAAGCTCACGAAATCTCATTTGTAATTTTACAACTTTCTTATCATAATATAGCAGAGGTCGTATATTTTTATTTTACCTCTATGTTTATTGAGTATATATGCAGAAACGCAACTAGAGATACTTATGCATAAATATTGATTAATAAATAGGCGTACAGCAATACTGCCTTTAATGGGATGTGTTCTGTTATTGGAAGCTAAACAATAGCTCCATTTGCGGGTATATCTGGCAAAACTGCATTGTTATTTTCTGCTCGATTAAATTGAAAAATACGTAAATACGTTTTTTTGGTCTGTTTCAACAATTTCTAACTATATAAAAGTATAAGTGCTAATCCATTTCGAATTTATATGTTGATATTTTAAAGTATGTACGATAGTGCAAAGTTATATGTCTTGCTATTAAATTATCAAACTTTCAATTTTTAAATCCCCCCTAATTTACGGTGACTTATCCTCATTAAGAAATAATCCACATATGTAACTCCAAGGCAATCCTCTGGAGTATAATCTTATGCAGGTGGTAAAACTATATGGTACCTGCAGTAAGATTTCACAAATCCCCATAGCGTGATTCCCCAATACACAAACCGTTCATATTATATAATGTTAAAAAATAACCAGTGAATGTACTTCCAATGTAATAATTACACATTATAATGTACTGTCGATTTAATAGGGAAATTCTACGGATCATGTATAAATTGTGTATGGTATATACTACGACAAAGAGTTAAGTATGAGTAATAGTAATATTTACTATGAAACTATCATTAAATTACGAAATGCTTGAGAGTCGTAGTTGAGAATTGCAATATCTTCTCTTTGCCAACGACAGGCGAGGTCGCGATTAATTTATTATGACGTATGGGAGTCTGTATTACCCTCACTGCGATATTTACGAGCGTAGGTATAGTCATCAGCTGCCAGGCAAAACACGATTCTATTAGTTGTGTTTTTGCTTCTACAATGCTGAACCGGAAATATTTTGGTCGTAATAAAAACAGTATCTCCGCGGGTAGGTGTAGATGGCTGATGGTATATAGCCTTTTACGGAGAGAAGGCATACAACCGTCTTATACAAAATATAATATATAATCTACAATGTACTTTTGCATACCTTGAACACCATGTGTGTGATTCGCACAGTATATTCATCTGCATGTAGTCAATATATCGACTAACAAAACTGCAATTGCATTTTTGACCATTTGTTAAAAATGCTCTGATTTTCGTTTCTGATTTTCTACCTCACGGAGTTTCGTCTTTCAATACATACTGAGTGAACCTATTAATCAACACCCCAATCCCCGGAGTGCCTCCAGGTACTTGGTGCTTGTGTCCAATTATTTGTGTGTACTTTTCTTATTCATGATATCATTATTGGGCACGACTTGCACATATGTGTCGTTTTGTTCAATTGTAGTTGCTATTGCACACAAATTGTACATAGTCTGGTAGTCTGCTGTTAAAGAATGCATACTCGTACTAATTCGTTTTGGCTTTGAGCATCTCTCTATTGTTCTAATTGTTGATTGTTTCATTGGGATGTTTGGGATTGTTGCCGAAACTTTTTTGTAACTGCTGAACTAATATATTTCAAATGTAAATTACTCCAATATTGAAGAAATCGCTAGAGGGTATATGAGAGTTTGCGAAATGTGCGTGTTAAGTTACAATCTATGTTAGATATTAGTTCCTGTCTATATGTTTTTTTTTAATTCAGGCTTTCGGCGTTGTATATCTCAGTCCACCATCAATGTTAATTTAGTTTTGCAAACATTACATTATTGTGAGACAAATTGTTTTCCAGTTAAAGCACACTACTATATGTTAACATTGAAGAATATAACCAGCAGTGCTCCTCTATCCTCTACATATGTCAAGTATGATAAATGAATTGTAAATAAACAATTTTAATGAAAGCTAATATTATGATTAGATATACATTCCAAATAACAAAATAACAAGAATCTAAAATAATAGAAAAAAAAAATCGAAACGAAAGTTGCTGTAAAATATTTGGTGTCTGGTCGAAACCAATTCAATGAGATTTTGGAAAAACAAAGTTTTGTTCTAGATAGAGTAAATTATTACAATCACAAACCAGAGGGCGACGCTCAAATATATGGCCACCAAAGCCAAAACATGTACCGGTACCGCAGTCTGCACGACTAACGCGAAACAAGGTGCGCAAACTTTGATGACTCCATGACACTTAAACTCCCAAGAATTTATCAAATAAATAAAAGTAATAGCCTTAAAAGTAAATAAAAGTAATAGCGAAAAATACAATATCTAACCACTGAAAATTACAAAGTAATTGGTTCAATGAAAAAAGAGAAAGCGACAAGCGACAATAATAACAACAGCAACATAATAACATGACGATCCATAGGTGCATTCCGTGTTCAAGAAGACTTTCTATGTAATACTTGTTGATAACAAGACATCAATGCTCAAATATATGGACACGGAGGCCAAAACGAAGGAGCATCAAATCTCTTGCAGGATCGGTAGAAATTGGTGAGCGCGGCCACGGAACCACGACACGGTGCGCATTTTTTAATTTTGAGAAAACTTAAAGTGAAAAACGAATTCCATAGAAGCCGCGAGAAAAGCGATTTTTCACAACAACAACAACAACAACAAGAAAAATGACAAAATGATCTATAGGCCTGTTTCGTGTCCAAAGATACATTTGGCTTCCAATATTATACTTGTGATTTAGTGAGGGTAATACATTGCATGGCGGCATAGCAGCATGTATTCTACTGAATCCACAGCGACACATAGCGAATATTATATTCTCCGATGGCACATAGAATTAGTAAGTGATTTTCAGTACATACCCCCAGGCAATGTCTGGTACATTTCAAACGAGCATACTGTTGTTACTCACCGGTGTTTGAAATTGTAGTGAACAATTACTATGATCAGAACATGTGTATGTATAGTGTTTATGTGACTAACAAACAACATATTTTTGTTGACTCGGGAAACAGAAACTGAAGACCTATAGCTATCCGAAGCTTCACTTGAAACAGATGCGTTTAGACTGTAAATATGAATTTATATCCTAACAAAAAAATGTCAGAGATTGTTCTGTTTATAATGATTTTGTGGATAAGAGTTGAATTGTCACGATGCAGCGGCGAGGTAGTTGGAGAGGCATCTAATAAGAATATACATAGCGGGCATGGAGGACGATTTCCAGCAGGTAAGTGAAACTCTAAAACACGATTATAAAGGATCACAGTCCACGTTATATACATTGATTTAATTGTTACGAAAACTATGAGTTTATATAAAATATCGCATAGTCTTATCGAGCATAATATTTTTATCATATATTAAGTTGAATGACTGTCTTCGGAAATATACCGTTGGGTATGAACGTAATAAAAACACACAATAAATGATTCCTAGACTGATTTGTACAATAGCATCATCTGACATAGCTCAAATTTACCACAAAAAACATAGCCTGACCCAGAATTTATATATACTAAAGTATGCTCTTTTTCTGTCACAGTATAACCTAATCGAAATTGATGTACAAATATAGTAGTTATAGGAGTAAACATGTAGATTTTCTTGGTCTCCTTTATTACATCAATAGAGCTTGTTACTTTTCTTTGCTGAAGTGGTTTGATATACGGATGTCACTTCAACTACATGTCCCAAAGCACGGATTTTAAAAGTAGAAGATATATAGATGAAGCCGATGTTATTTTTAACAAGAATATGGTGGCAATGGTTGTTATTAGGTTTTTCATGCCTTTTATTTTTAGGGCAAAATTCGTCTCACCAAATACCGGGTACAGTTAAAATTTTGAAAGCTGAATGCAATTCCAGAACCATTGATATCACAATTCCAATTGAGAAAGTACGATCGAAAAAAGGTCAAATTTTGTCGCCAAGTAAAATATTTTTCAGAGCAGATGCAAGTAAACTTTGCCAAGCTAAATCGCTTAGCAGCGACAGCTACCGGATAACAGTACCGCTGCAACAAAAAGCATGTGGCTCTCAAGTCAAGGTCAGTAATACTTGATAATAAAAATGGAATAAAACGAACGATTGATTACAAAATAAAGCAATATAAGCAAACTGTAGCCTATTTACGTCGAAATTATTGCTGTCTTACACATATTTTACGAATTATTCATTTTTATATTTAGCGTAAAAAGTATCAAACCGAATACAGAAATGAGGTGGTTCTACTTGATATTGGAGCTGGATTGATAAGAAGCCTTCTCAACTTCACATGTGTTTATCAGGATAATGATCATATAGTAATATTACCGACTTCATCCAGGTAAAGATGAAAGAAATAGAGTTCTAAATGAGTGCTTCTAGCAAATTTCTTTCAAATTGAATGTGACTTGTTTTTAGTGATTTATCAATTTCGCTAAAGGATGACGTGAAGGGAAAATTGAAGATGAAACTTCATCGTGATAAATCGTATTCGCGTGAATCAACAATAGATCAAGTCATGCCTGAGATATCGGTCAGTCGGTTTTTGTTTTCGCATATTGAATCTAATACAAATTTACATTATGTTCATACGGTAATAGTTGTTAAATATAACGGGTTATACGTGCTCAATTGAACGTGATATTCCATTTATTGATATATTGTAATATGACACAATTTCAACAAGTTTACGTATAATTCATATCTGATCCAATGTATTGTACAGCTTCATAATGGACTAATTTGAATTCTAAATGATTGGAAATTACGATAGTATCTCTGTGTTTACAACTGTCAAAGTCGATTCACTTTTTATAACTTTAAATAACATGTACAGGTCGGCCATTTTGTCTTCGTGTCTATCGATTTCGAATCTTCAAATGAAGAAATTGCCTCTCAGTATCACGTTGTTTCAAACAATTGTTTCGCAAGCTATTTTCCTACATTCGATGATAGAAGAATGGCTCACTATTTCGTAACCGACGGGCAAGTATTTGCTTGATATTAAACAATATACCGATAACGAATATTTGAATTCCCGTCTGCAGTGATCGTGATCCCCTAGAAGTAAGAATGAATAAAAAACAGCTGCTTTAAGGCCGGTAGCATGGAATATTTTAAACTTAAATCCTAGTTTTGTGGATAATATGGGCTGGTGGTTAGGACGCGTGGGCCATGGTGTCAAATGTTATATATTTCAGGCACTAACACAATGCACAATGCCTATTTTATTTGTAAATGTTATAATATATATGTATTGGGCATAGGCTCTTCTAAATCGGAGGTATTTCCGTCATTTCTTTAAACCAAGTTCTGTACCACTGCATTGGACCACTGCTTTTAAAAACTCTCTCCAACATGGAATATTACAATTCGTATCCAAGAAAACAGAGGTTAGAGTACAAACAAAAACACGTCACACTTTCAATGCGAGAAAACAAAATACGCCAGTCAAAAGGCACGTTCACAATTGGATTGATTCATGTCGTAACACTGGCTCAATGTCATTTTAAAACATTAGGTTGCTAAGCGCAACCATTGGCAGAATAGAAGGCATGTGAAATGGACGCAGTCATAAGTTGTTATTTATTGCCGCAATGACAATATAATAATTCCAGTAAAATGCTATTTTTAACATTCAAAATTCAACAAAATAACTTGTCGATGAGTTTAATAGATAATTCCTGCTTGCCCTTATGACAGGCAAATTATTTTTGCTCCAAAAAGGGAAAAGTGGGTTTTTACACTTCAAACTGTACTTTTGACAGATGCGCCAGCAAGTCCGATTCTACAGTCGCTCTGGAAAGTAATGGCGTTGGGTGGATATCTAGATGGAAATATCAAATGTTCAAATGGGTGAATACAACTTCACAACGTATCTATTTGTTTTGTGACGTTAGCTTATGTGACGAACGTAATCTTGAAGACCGGCACGTTTGCAACAAAATAAATAGTAGGGTTAGTAAAATGACGTGTTATTAAACCTTGATGAACTCTATTATTTCGTGTCTCTCTCTTATAAAGGATTGACGTGGTGACAGTAAACTGTAAATCTTTCTAATTTGAGCATATTTTGCGGACGACGCGGGTGGCGCCAGAGAGACCCACGACGACCACTGTAGATAAAAGCATATGACGCAACGACAATGCAAAGTTTATCAATTGCTTTTCGAACAATTTAGATAAAGATAAACAGACTTCAATGTGTGTACGTTGATCACGCTTCCCTGTTGAACTATGTATCATTTAACCTTATACACGTGTCTGGACTCTGGAGTCGTTTTCTTCCATAAACTAGACTAGCGTGACACCAGGCTATCGGGTCGTTAAATGTGTCTCGAAGTCCAGCTTTTGTTAGTATTTTAAGTTTGTGATTTTTCTCCAGTATGATTTAATGTTATACTCATCCCCTCATAGATGACGCTGCTCGATAATCCTCACTCGTTTATCGTGTTTCCCTTCACACTAAAATGCATTTTTTTATCATTCTTAATTTTGTTTGTCGAATGTGTACTTTTGGTTTGTGATAAAATAAGCTACTGACTGACGTACTAACAATTTAAAACATTGTTTCCATAACGATTATGCGATTATCATTGTCAAGTTTATGAGATTAGTTTAAACAGTATGACTTATGATTATGATTGGAATTTTTACATATTACATTTATTCGGATTATATAAAGCCATGTCACCATTTTAAAAATTACATTACTGAATTTCACAAATACTTCTCAAAGTTTCCATACAGTAATCCGCGTTGGCTCTTGTTACCATGGCAACTTTATATTCCATTAATGCTCGTGTTCTCATTTCAAATAAGAATGAACTTCCAACTTTTACATAATACAGAAAGATTGCTTTGGATATATATACGGTGGAAAAAGTCGCCGAGAAGCAAGTATCCATAGCAACGATACAAAGAACGAAGTAAAATACATTTTATCCATTGGTCCAATATTTCCCAAAGATTCAGTTTATCTTCTCGATAATTCTGATGGAATCGAAGATATTCTTGGCAAAGACAAAAGTTCAGGAGGTAAAATATAAATTTCTAAACAAAATTTATTCTGTCATTCTCATTAATTTATCAGCCATTTTCTGCATTTAATCAAAAAAAAAAAAAATTAATTGAAATAGAAAATTATTTTATTATAGTATTAGTTTCGGTACTGTGAGCAAGTTTCCTAAATTTTTGGAAATATAAAATGTGCTCAGAAATATAACGAATACTCTATAAATTACTCATGGTTAAGTGTCTTCAATTTTATATCACTACCTCATAAACGAAGATGGTGAAACATGAATTGTTTGTTAAATATCGTTTCCTTGATCAATTCGAACATCGTTTTTAGAGCTAAAACTGTAAACATTTGCTTTGGGTATTAATTGTGATGTTAGCATTTGTGTTCGATGGCGTGATTTTGATAAAAACTTGCTTGAAGCGCTTTGGCTAAATTCTTTATTAGACGAATATGACCCATATGTACATGATACACATGTAACTAACTGAGTTTTACATTACATAGGAAATGATGATTTAGTGGTTCCAATAGCAGTTGGAGTCGTAGCTGGAGTATGTGTTATTATACTTATCGTTGCTGCACTTATGTTCTGGAGAAGAAGAGTAGCTCGCGAAAAATCAAATCGTCAAAAAACGAAAAAGGAAATTCAGCAAGGGTTTGCTTTCATGATGAGTGAGTTATTGGCTTTTATGTGTTTCACGTTTTCGTATTTAATATCGTCTTCACTATTGAATGATTGAAAAATTTTCAACCTCAGGGCTGGGGAGCTGTGCTTCCGGCTCCAGCTCCAGAGCCACAGTATAACCTAAATGTGGCTTCAGCTCCGGATCTTCATTTTTTACGTCGGAGCTAGGCTCCGGCTCCATATCCATTGAGGTTTTCAAGGGTGACCACTACCATGAAATATCTGCTCAAAATGCAGTTTCGTGAAAGCGGGACTCAAAGCTTTGATATGAGGGTTTCAAATTTCAAAATTAAGATTTTAAATATATGAATTAAACTTGAGATTATGAATGAATACTATGAATTGAAATTTTCTGATGGTTCGGAGCTGGAGTCCCTAAAATTTCTGGTAACTCCGGATCCGTACCTCCATACCTAGCTAGGGATGGTTGTACATATCCTTGTTTCGAGTGAAAGCCTATTTTTGTCTATCAGTATAAATAATGTCAAAATCTACATTTTTAGAATCTTCAAACGATCCAGAAATATTTCCTCAAAATGATAAAGATAAAAAATCTGCACCAAATAGGCGAGAAGACAAACGTGATTCTTTAAATTTTGACTTTGATCGAGTTATAGAAAACAGCAATTCTGAAGCTGAACGAGACGAAGTAAAATCTACCACGAACGAAAATTTATCTAACGGACGACGCCGTCGCCATTCTTCAATTGATAAACCAAAAAGATCGAATAGTAGAAATACCAATGCGAAATACAAGACAAAACCCTCGAGAAAACGTTCTAATTCAACTGAATTTTCAAGTTCATCATTGGAAATTGTTCGTCCAAAATCGACAGGGAGGGGAAATCGTAGGAGACATAGCGCACAAAGCAATGGGGACTAAATACAATGTTTCAGTGAAATATGTCTTTTTTTCTACAGCATTATTTTTTGTTATTTTGCTCCATTCCCAAATCCCTCACTGATGCACTGTTAAATATTTACTGACATTTGACCTGCTTTAAAACCGAAATTTAATAAAGACTATAAATAAATAATTACAAACAAACATAACATAGTTACAAATTATTACAAAAGCATTGATTTATTTTAACCCAAAGATAAGACGCTCAAAATAAAAACCACAATTGACAAAAGGTATGGTTTCAAAATTTGAATAATCGTATTTGATTTGTTTTAGCAAATTGATTGCTTTTATATGATATTTGTAATGAATGTTTTTATATGAAGCCGTTCTTTCTTTCATGACATAAGGAACGGGGTAGAGCGAAAGTCTAATGCAAGTGTTCTCGACTTTACCATATGGGGCATGTTTGCTGTATTCGAGTCATTGCATACCTGGCAATAATAGGTAAATTTAACTACACTGAATTGGATGTCCACTCCGAACATTTACTTGAAGTCTAATGTGTTTAGTATAATTTCGAAAACATTTCCAATCATATTTTTGAAAGTAAATTTGAACAAAGCAAGGTCACGAACACTCAAAAAAGAATTGAAGTGTGGGATTGCGCGTCAGTAAATACAGATTGACGTACTACCGTAGTGAATTCAATACAGCTTAATTTATTTGTTCGGTAGGTACACTGACAGTAAACGGACTAGAGCTCACAGTCAAACGATCCACCTAGAAACATTGACGCACAAAAAGAAAACAAGATGTCGGCGATTCGAAATTTTCGTTAGAACCGATTCGAATAATAATATTCGATTCAATTTAAATATTCGATTCGAAATGCCCATCCCCGCTCACTACTCTTTACACAAATTCCTCATCTAGACTACACACACATTATAGTCAATTGTCTATTACTTAGAATTTCTCGAATATCTTACGATTCCAATTACGAATAAAGAAACTTTACTTTGTAGACGTAACATTTCCCCGCTAAATAAATAAAGCTTCAAATATCGATGTATCATGTATAACATTATATTTAACACTTTAAATTCATTTTATGTTTTAATAATATGAATAGCAATTTTGAGAACGTATATATCGGACCAAAATACCACAATATGACAGCAGCCCTATTGAAACAACAAAATTGACTCGAGTGATATGATGCACCTGGTCGTAGCAGCATTGTTAGATCAAAAGTTACATTTTTATACAACCACAGCAAATTTTATTGGAAAAGTTTATCAACATTTCATTAGCAGAAAATCCTCTTGGTGTGACGCACATGGTCCACGGAATTTTTGAATAATTCAAATCATTCGAAACTTGGCCATCAGATACTTGTCCAATAAATGTTATCAGTCAATTTAAATTAAGCTATATTTAGATTTTTGTCAAATATAACAAAACAAAATTTGCATGTACAGAATTTAGTCTCATCTTTTCAGTAGTTTCATAATAAAAACCAAAGGAATATCAAAAAATAAACAAAGGTTAATATCTAGAAGAAATATAACCCAGACAAGGTTAATAAAATCGGCTTTGGGCCAGGCTTTTGGCAATCATTTTTTTTTGAAACGTTTATCGAAATTGATATCATGGCAAAAAAAGTTTCAAAACGCTGTCAAAAATGGTAAACGTTATTCAATTCAGTATTGATTAAAATTGTTACAACTGTTGATCCTATCCCAGGTTTTCAAATAAATATTTTGGGGGGCAGTATCACAAATACTAAACCTTAATCAATCCTTCAATTTTCATATCATATTTTAAATCGTATTGTATCAGTCATTGAAGAATAAGTGATGGTGTATCAATAAGAACACTGAGGAGAATTTACATATTTAAAAATGATTTTGATTTAATTTTAGCTATACTTTGAGCGTGAATCAGAAAGTTGACCCCATCAGACATTATACGTAACATTTGGGTCTTCGTCGATTAGTGCAATGGACAAATACGCTGGTACTTGATGGTTGTAAAGGTAAATTTACCTTTTGACATAACTAAACTAAAAGCAATCGTATCCGATGATGCAATATAAACAGATAAGGTTGTTCACACTATAGTTAGATAGGAAAAATAATGAAATAATATTCAACTTCAAACACATAAAATAATAAGAAATAATAAATACAATACATCAAATATGTGAAGAACAACAGTGAATACTTTGCATTACATATTTGTATATACATTAGTTAAATCCAAGCCAATCGTTTTTGTTAAATTTGTAATAAAAAAGGCATTGTTACATACATTATTTTTTTGAAGATTGTATCACAATATGCAATCCAATGCCAATAGTCTTCTTACAAACTAATAGGTAAAGCATAGCAGAGAAATATGAGTAAAATATGAGAAAAGCTCGCAAATCAAATCAACACGATTATACTGATTCAAATTGTTGAGATTTCATGGAATGAAGGAACAAAATTACGGTATTTGAGGAATGAAACTCTGGAAATTACGATCAATCATAAGGTGCAAAGAATTTGTTTTAGCAGTTTAAACATAGAATGTTTTATGATTGTTGGGGTTGTTGAACAACACAGATTTGAACTACTATGTTCGCTCTCTCTAGTGTCATCTTCAGTATAGAAATTCCGATAAGTTTCATTTCCATTTTTTGAAGTCTTGGTCACGTAACTTCACTGTCAATAAAATCTAAAATTGACGCATGCGAAAGGCTTTCAATAATATCATTCAAGTTATTGAAGTCATCATCTGGCTCAAGTAAGGTTAGAATGTGAAATATATCCGAAGAAATATGATTAGAGAATGTACTGGAGTCGACCAGTGATCTCGCAGATCTGGTCTTAGCTTTATTTCTCCCGCGGTTTTTGCCTTTTTTAGACTTCTTGTTTTTTCTTTTCTTTTCTTTTCGATTACGTTTTCTGTTTTTAGATTTTCGTTTTCTACCCCTTTTTCCTTCCTTGCGACGCCGAGATTTTCGCGGTCGCTTAGTCTTAGGTTTTGATACACTTGTAGTAGATACAGTTGGTGGAGTAACTGTCGTTGAATCGAAAAGTTTCTCCGTTGTTTGAATTGAAGTTTCTTCTATTTTAACAGTAGTTACTGAAATGTAAATAGGAAAATGATTAATGACAATGTTTTGTTTTCACTGTATGTAATAAAATAATAGTTGGGAAGGAGATAGAATTTGACTAGATAACGTAGTATCACGCTATTGCATCATCAATTACCTAGACATGTATATGATATTTTGAAAATTATTATAATTCTGCAAGTCGTCTCAGTGTGACTTTATTTTAAAGAATTTGATTGAACAACATCTCTGGAGAAATGTATGATTGACTTTATGTGGGTTCAAAATATTCCAGATGTTTGCTTTATGACTTACGTCATTCCGGACTTCTTTTGTCAATACAGGCAATTTGAATTGCATGACCTAATTGAACTATATATAATTATCCCAAATCTAGAATATAGATACATGTTTTGTAAATATGTAAAAATTTATTTTCGATTTTCCTTTCTGTTGTGAAAAGAAGGGGATACTATCCTATGTGATATTATCATATTATGAGCAGAAGCATAAACTAAAAATCGAAACGTTCTAACGAACCTGTTTGTGTCGTTGGCATTGTCCTGGCAGTGGTAACCGCTTCAAAAGGTGTTATGAGTTGTTTTTGAGGTGTTGTGCTGACACTAAATGATGAAGTTTTTGGCAGAGCCTCCTTTTTCGCGCTAGCATTTGAGACTAGAAAATAAGCACGCTTCGGTGGGGTCTTTGAGGAGTCGATAATGTTTTTGGCCCGTGCGGGTGTCGTTCTTCCTTGTGTAGCAGCCCTCATGGTGATAAAGCGACTGTGCTTATCTGATAAATATGCGTCGTGAGAAAGGGGGTTGTAATAATGCAGAAATACAGTGTCTTCATTCAAGATATTTTTCTGAAATAAAATCAAAATCATGCAATAACAACATTTCTGAATAACAGTACCACAACATAAAAATTCAGATTAATATTTCAATCGGTCAGAAGCACTTCGGAAAAAAATTTGAAAACTGTATAAAATCCTTATAGTAGTCACTACCACCTACAGCTAGTTGTTTCAAATTTTTTTGCTTACGATTTAAAACTTTGAAAGAACTTGATTCAACAGTTGCAGATAAGCTATTGTGCTGATAACAACACCAACAACGATAAGAACACCAATATATACAACAACAATTTTAGAAAAGAACTTGATAGGTTCATTTCATTATGTTTAATTAACAAGCGACCAAACTTTATTGTTGTAAAAGTTTTGTAATATAATCATCAAAAGTGGAATGAAATAACTTTTGTAAGCAAGTGAATTATTCGTCGTAATGACGTTTACAAATTGAGAAGGAGTATTTAGGTGTGACTAACCGTGGTGTATAATTTTCCACTTTTGTTCATGGCGATGTAATATCCGCTAGCCAGACCATAAATTTGAACTTTTGCTTTTTCCTTCTCTGTATCGTAATCAACAGCGTTGATTTTCATTTTGTCTGTAAATAAGTTATAAATATAAATAAAATTCAGTTTTTTTTTTGACTTGGTATTATCGTGAGAATAAATCGTATGTCTGTATTTTGGTGATATGAAATGTGCCAAAAGAATTTCGAAAAATTTTATACAATAATTCACAGACAAATTTTAGATGCAATTTACGTGCCATATAACGAACGAGTTATCGGGAAACACATATTAACTTGAATTAATGGCAGCAATCATATCGGGTTAACACTTCTGATTTTCAACGGTTTTGCCAACTTCAAAGAGACTGATGAGTAGGTAGTTACGCTCATAAGTGTTTGTGAACAACCAACAAAATAATGGCGGGATCGTTAACAGGGGTATAATTTCCGACGATCAGTCGATTAGGATAGCTATCGATAATTGATTCAGATGATTTTGAAAGAAAAATAAATATGGCGCCATTATTGAACATTCTATTTTAGCCATGTTTTGTCCATATGTTTGGTTGCTCAGAGTATTTCAACATAATAACATTGTATCAATAATCTAAATAAGTGGCACAAAAAATATAATTTTCTGTAATCTATATCCACAAAATTATTATGCCGAAAAAGTACTTCCACAATTACTGTGTTTCACATAATAATATCAAGCAGATGTTCTCTATGCGCAATTTAGTATGATCATGGAACAATGGACAACACATTTCCTTAATATTATCATTCACTAATTATAATTCACTGACATTCACAGACATCGTACTCATGACGTACGTTTATCAAGTTTTTGTGATGGCCATTTTAGAATATAGTAAATTCGATATTCGAAAATCGTACAAGATGAAGCAATTTGACGATAGATGCAAAAGAGATGAAAATGCCTACTTTGGTATACAACTATGAAATTTTGAGTTTTTTTTTTAAATGTTTCCCTAATTCTAAAACAATTTCGCAGCAGAAAATTAGAAACTATCTACATGATTGCAAACAAATATTTTAGGATTGCAAGTGCAGTTGATAACTTCATAGTCAAGTGAAATAGATAATTGTACAGCTTGAATATTTAAATATAAATATGGTACGAAAAAACATGTTTAACCAAATCACATCCAAAAAATATTTGTATAGCCTGATACAAATCACTTTTGCAAATACATGGATGGGAGATACTTTTCTTATTTGGTTACTTTTACTAATTTGTGGATGTTTAGTAACTATGATACAGATAAATGTCAGACTTGTGTGCTGAATAGCCTAATGGCAATAGAATATGACGTCAATAATATTTCATTTCGGCCATACCAGAAGGAAAACAAATATTATACATCGGCTATTGCATCATTAGTGTTGTGCTGAAATACGATATGACGTTTTTACCTGCCATCTTGATTTCGAATCAGGATATAATATCCACAATGCTTTACTTTGATGTTTAAAATAGATTATTTGACATATTTTTGTCGTTGGTGTTTTGTGACCGGAGTAAAAGTTTGATAATATTAAAGATTAACATTTTTATCACAAGGAAAAAAATTTGCATAACAATTGAAATTTATATCGTGTAGTATATATTACATAGAATATATATGAAGGTGATAGGTTAACTACCTTTTCATTGGTTTAGAAAATTGAAAGCTAACTTGCATGTTACTGATCAGATAATATGGAGGTAAACGATGTAAAACTGTAAAAAATCAACATCTAAGCTCAGAAACCATAGAAATACCAGTCACAGATCACTATTTTTAGTATTTGGGTAGGGAAAATAGGTTTATATTGTATTCTTAAATGATGGGTAACAAAAGTGGTAAAGAAATTAAGTAAGATTTTCATACAAATTCTGTCTGACTATTTGAGACTTATTTCTAAAACCATACGGGAATGCAATTTGTGGTCATTTTCTAATTCCATTTTCACCCAATTCTACTTGACCTATAAGTTAGGGGCTTAAAGAATGATGTTGATCAAAGAAATCAATTTGTTAACATGATGATGAGGTAAAGTCAACTGTTTTGGTAAACTACAATTGATGCTTTACATATTTTAGCTAATGAAGAGTGGACAGGTGTTATCGTTAACATATATAATGATTATATTAAAAACTCTTTTGTGTCATGACGTTAGTAACAACCACTTCATTTGAATAGAGTCTGATGAAGTCTTCTTATGACCTATGAAACGTTGATATTAATATGCTTCATAATACAATAACTGAACAAAGCGACTCTCTCAGTCTATGACACTCGAAATCAATTTTGTAAATCGTCGTACGAAGTCGGAGGGCCGGGAGTCCGTGACATTAAGAGGAAACGTGATAATACCCGAGTGCTATCGACTGATCACATCATGTTTAATTAATGTGTCGTTATTTTTATTTGAAATAATCGATTTTTCAAAAGCGCGATAAAATATTGTGACGTCATAAACGAACACATAATATTCAAATGTTATATGTAAGAAATCTTATACACCTAAAAAAGGACTCACATACTAAAATCCGAGTTCTATGAGAGATCATTCAAAATACTCCTGACGCACTCAGAGGTATGAGTATTTTGACTTTATCCTATGAGTTTGTTCGAATTGTTCGAGTTTTTCGAGTTCGAGTTTCGAGTTTGATGTGAGAAAATTCACGTGTAAAAAGCATACGGGATTGCGTGGTTAATTTAATATCATTCATTTAATAAATAATCCATCGCTGATTTATGAATCATTTCTCCGATAGTTTCTTGGTAACTTTTTGAGCGACGTCTGATAAAGTGGATACGCATAATTTGCAATTCAAAATGATGTAATTCCCACGAAAAAGTGCTAACGAAAGAAACTGACGTCTGTAATATCTGATTTATAATGCTATGCGCCAGAAATAAAAACGTATAGTATTCATATGTTGTTATCACAATTCCATCTGGATACTTTACGGCTTTCGTTATATGCACGTCGCAAATTTAGACAATGAAATAGTCACGTTATTACTATAAAAAAATTATTTATAGTTCATGCACACTATATTTGAAACATAATAAGTTTCAAAACTTTGTTGATTTTCGATTTTTTAGCTATGTGAATGTAAATCGCAAAATGATTTTTTTATTTTTTATTTTAGTGTCTGCAATTGCTTTATATAACGAAGTGCTATAGCGTGATGATACGCGTCTACGAAGCAATATTAAAATATTTTATGCATTTTTGCGACTGTGACCTTTAAGTTGGTGCTAGATTGCGATGCTATCTCAGATCTCATGTAGACGAGAAGTCATTATTTCGCAGACAATTTGGTAATATTCTGTGAAATAGCAAATTTGTGCATCTTTTGCATGTACAGTACAAATTTTTGTTGAAACTTTAAAATATTCAATTTTCACATTTATCCCGCGAGTTGTTGTCTAACAAGTATTTAATTTATTTCTGAATATATAAAACAGTTTGGGATTCCTTGTTCCATCAATCTACTGAATATTTCTTGTGCAGATTTCAATGGCCAGCACATTAAAATTTTGCGCCGCCCAGAAGATATTGTATATTTATGACATTTAAACGTATGGAACCATTATTGGGTATAAATCTGCAAAACATTTAGAGTTTGTATTTAAAAATAAGTTTACCATAATGAAGTAATGAAGACAAATTCAGTTATGACATGGAATAAAGTCCTTTACTTGAATTATTTTACTCGTTCCACGAAATTATTTTTGCATTGCCGCGACAGGTGTCACTGATGAGACAGCCGACTGTGGCTTTTCTTTCCCAAGGTTTTTACCCTCCCTTTTGTCTGCTAGAATTACTTTGTTATGTGTTCACCTGCAGTGGCTTCTTGAATCTGCTTTGGAATTCTTAGTATCAATCATGTCAACAATTATTAGCTATCGGGCATGAATTGACTATGTATCACTTACTACATTAGATAACATATTCGAACTTTGTATAACAAGCGCGGGAATCATTTTCAAGATTAAAATATTTAAAATCATCTACGATTAAAAACGCTCCGCCTAATAGCACTTTGTATATAGATGAATCATATATTGGAAATGATATATTTAATCAACTGTTTGCAGTTTACTAACGCGTTAACATAAAATTATTTTAACAAGAATACCATTTAATTTGCTTGAATTTTGTTATGAGGAATCGCTTGCTTGATGTGTTTGTTGCTCGAAGTATTTTATTTTCATAATTTTGTGTGGATATTGACGTCATCACCAGGTGCATGTTTTGCAATGCTAAAATTATCGCGCGTGTACACGTTTTCCGTTTGCATTGGAACTATATATATTCTAAGTTCAAATGTCAACAATATGTGTCCGTCTTATTCATATTTAATTCTATTTAGTGTGAGCACACATTCTTTGACCCACATTATTATTAGACCGATTCAACCACGCCATTTTGTGGCGCTACCGGTATTTGTTCCATAGCTATGAAACCAAAGAGAAGCCTTAGTTGTGTAATTTTTTTAATTCATTGAAATTCGAATAAAAGTGTCCCACGAACATAATAATCAGGCAAGGAATTTCAGTCACGTAGGAATTATTACACTGTATTAATAATAGTTTAAACCTCATATACGCATGTATATTTTCATGTTTGAATAACTTATAATTTAGTTTTATTTGTTTGAGTGCTCTGTTGATTTCATAAATTCAGGCCAACCTGTTCATGAATATCGAAACATCATTTCCCTTATTTTACCCTTTTCAAAATTTTTATTATTACTCTATTTTTCTGTCCATTACAGATAAAAAAGAAAGAGTAAATATGAGTATAAAAATACTTACAAAATTCATCCTCTTTCGATTCTCCAATGATCGACCCATCTGACAAAATCTTGAGGTATGAGCTGCTTTCCTTGTGATACATCTTGAAAACTGCTTCTTGTCTTTTGAATAATTCATCTGTTGATTTGCTGTCAAGGTTGCGCAGATGATTTCCTGATTCTGATGAAGATTCCGAGTTGAAAATTTGATCATAAATAGAAGATCTTCCACTCGTACTGCGTCGGATGCGACGCCGATTATTGTTTGTCGAAGTATCGTCATATTTAGAAATATATTGAGGCTCATTGTGACCAGTGTTTAATAAAGAAAAGTTTTGTGTATCGTTGTTCTGACTTGAAAATTCATTCAATTTTTGAGATGGAATACGCTTTCCTATCTTCCTTCTCGGCTTAAAATACGAAAAACGATTTCTTAAAAACGATTTGTTATCACTCTCAGTACTTGAGCGAGATTTTAGCGCCAAAAGCCGATGCAATAATGCTATGTCACTGAATTCAACCGTTAAAGGCTTGGTTATAGTTTCAGTCACCATTTTCTGAAAGCCATTGTTGTCTTCACGGAGAATTGAATATGTAGAACTTTCCATAAAATTTGTAATGAGCGTGAGAATCATCAGCAGTATTGCACTTTCCGTTTCCAGTAGACGAAATCCTTTTGTCATCTTAGTTCTATTGAGAAACTGATTCTGTTTCGCTCACGATCGCGAAAACTTTTTTGACGTATAATCCGTTCCTTCCTTCGTAATCTGTTGCAACAGCGCGGAGAAAATATTTTGTCAAACCGCTGGAGTTATCAGTTTTATCGAATGTCATGTTAAATTTTTTATGTAACTGTTAAGATAGAATAAAACCAAACTTCTTTTAAATTGAACAAAATATCAATGTCAATCTGCCAGTGATTCTAATAGTAAACAACTGTATCATTTCTTCATCATGGTAACACTCCAATAATAAAAAAAATATCTTAATTTATGAAATGATTAGCATTTAATGCATGAAAATGAATGAGGCTAAATAATATTTCGATATTTCGATTTATACCTTTTAACAATTTTTTAATATGCCAACATATACAGAATCACAAAACTTCCAATAACTACTCCAAGCTACTACCTCGCGAAGATTGCATTATTACTCTGGACAAATAAGAAAGTTAAATATTTAATTATGTATATTTTTTTTATCGTAAATAAACCAGTATATATATAATGAGCGCATCTCACACGGATGCATAAAAAGATGATTAACCATGCGAAATTGCAAATATGCCCACGAAGAGCACGATTCTAGCTCATCTTTTCCAAATAGTTTGAAAGGAGATGATATTTTCATTGAAAAGAATCGATTATTATCGATATTGAAATTTGATTTTTGTAACACTTTTTCAAACAGGTTCTTTATCAGATATACTGTTTACTAGATTCTTCTAACTTCTCCGACACTTCAAACTTGCTGAATTATCAGTATAAACATGTCTCGATAATTGGTATAGTTGCATAGCTATAACTGGCAGTATATCCTGCCATGAGCGACTCACGCACGTGATGAACAAAGTACATTAGTTAAAGCCTTATGACTATTAAAATTTCGAAGATATGGGTGGCAGGGGACAGTCAAATGGGACTTCTTTCGTGTCTCCCCTCGAACATATACAATTGGATAAACGTCCTCTTTCCGTTGGGTACTTTTACCCCTGTCCCAAAGTTTTACGTATCCAAAGCCTCTCTACAACTCACTAAGATTCAACCGCTGCTTCAATCTATCAGAGCAATATACTTTTTTAGTAAAATCCTCACAATTCTTCAAAGCGACGATCAAAGACCAATCAGGGTAAAGGACGAACAATGATCGACGCTGCTCTCGCACGTCATCAACAACTGTTGAAGCGGTGAACTCACGGCCGTTTTTTAACGAATATTATTTGCGATATCTTTTGTACTTATAATAACGCATTCTGATCAGCTAAGAGCGTAAGCTGGTACTTACATCACCCAAATACAATATGCATTGTCGGGTGTGGCGCATGGCCCTCCTGAGTCAATAACAAACGTGCGATATCGCCAAGACAATGTCTTTAGTTTGCTGTGGTAGTCGGATTCGACACTAACTCTAGAATAAGTCAATACTTGGCTGTGTTTAACTTTATCCCATAGATTGCGTGACAAAGATAACTTTGCGTCGTATCAACACGGTCTTTCTTAATATAGATAAACTAGTCGTATTTGTTATTGACGGCTGTCGCTCATAAAACAAACCTATTTGAAAGCGATGTGGCTAGAATGGCTCAGTGGTAGAGTGTTAGTTTAGTCGTATTGTCGTCGCAAATTACATAACTTAGGTCGTGTAATGTTCTGCCAATTTCGAAGTTCAAAAATTAAAACCTTACGTCAAAGGGATTGCGTGTACAAAGACTGTTTGGGAAATATGCACAATAAGACTGATATATGAAAAAATCCAAATATGTCAAACGTTTGGCCACTTATGAATAACTAAACTCACTGCGGTGTATTTGTATATTAAAAGGCAATTACCACAACGAACATATTTTGTAGTTATGTTGTTATGGTTGCCACAATAATAATGCTGTAATGTACTGGGACAATACGTAAGACCTTCGAAACTATTTGATCAGCGAAATTAGGCAATAAACATAAGAATATTTTGTACTTTGATGTACTGTTTGCTGTTCCGACAAGCATAAAGATTATTAATTATAAGGTTTCTTAGTAAAGCAAACTCGGGAATTGATAATACATATTCAATATCCAACTGATGTTATTCTTATCGCCGCAAAGCGAGTGCATCAGTCTCGGCGAACTATCGAGTTGTTCCCGATCGCCCAGATCAGCGAAATTTAGCGAATTGTCTAGCGCGTCTGGACTAATATTTATATTTAATACCAAAAAAGAGGCGTGGAGTATTCGAGAATTCGGGTAAATACGACTAAAATTCCAATAAAAAGATAGAGGCAACAATAGAGTCAACGTAAGCCGTTGCAAGGCTATCGCTCAAAGATCCCGCGAAATCGATTAAACGTGAGTTGAGTTGTCACGAGTTGGGTGAGATACAAATTGACTTTTCGCGTGTAAAAGAACAAAGACGAAACATCAAGGCATAATCCCTTGACTAAATTACGAAAATGTATTGCCAGGAAACCACACCCTATCCTTCTCAATGCTGATAAATCTATTTGCGCTCATCGGCAAAATATTTGCCCAATACACCAACCGACCGAGTGGATATAAAAATGTGGGGAATGCAGCAACTTACAAGCTGTGCATACACGAAAATGTTACATGATATTAGATTTGACGAATATAATTAGGATTACGTGGGCAGAATAACTCACGAAAATATTAAAATTGGTTCACATGCACTTATGATCGCGCAGATCACCACACGACCATTTACGAAAAACTACAGTGCGCCCATTACTAGGAAAATATTGTTACAATATCGTATTAAAAACAAAAATGTTACCCTATATCCAACGCAACTTTACTTCAACTGGTGGCCGATGTCTCAAAAAATAATTAGCCAATGTAATAGAATATGCAGTAACGCACCCATCGATTTCCATGGGATAGATATAATGGGAATTACTTGACATGGTCAGAAACTTGGTCGTCGATGGTCACCGGCAGAGTTTTTAAATTCATTATATTCAAAATATTAGCTTTCAAAATCCTCATAATTTTTAAATTCTCGTAAAAAAATGCTATATTTACATAAAGTATTTTCAATTGAAATCGTCTACGTTTAGAAATACAGGACGATAGTCATGTTTACAAACAGAACATTTAAATCTGTCAATGGTCGCCCCTTTCAACTAAATGCCACGCACGTGCGCAAAATCTTGCGTAATTGTTCGTAGCCATTGCAGACTTTGAACAAACAATCAAGTAAGCGCCCAATTTTGTGATTATGTTTGAGATTAAGACGAATAAAAATATGAGTTATTCCCCATCGTACATGGACCGCGATGGAGAACACTTTTCGCACCTCATGCCCATACTCGTTGATACATGAGTGATCATGGACACGAGTATGTTGAACCCTGTCGGAAAATTATTACAATACTTGAAGGTTCAACACAGTCGGCACGCTTAGCCTTTTGATTAGATTTCACTAATAATAGAACGCCAAATACTTTTGAAAGAAACATTATGGACCTTTTGTTGAAAGAGAAAACAGTATGTCAAAGGAATGCTGCGGCCACGGACATAATGATGTATCGACCTATTGCGTGGATTGATCCGAAATGTTGATTGATTCCGGAACTAAATTGAGTCAAAGTGAAAACTCATTGACATTGATACTTAGAAAAGGTTTGGAAGAATTATTATCCGGTAAAGTTTGTGGCGAATAAGTGAAGATTATTATTGGCCTCGGGGCGGAAACAAAACCGATTTTCAAAAGATATTGACACAAAAAATGGCATTTATATCACAAAATACAGCACGAAAACATCTTATTGATAAGCTATTTCTTTTTTCTAAAAAAAATACATATCTAAACTTCAGTGATTTATAATAATGATTGACGCATTTTTTGTATTCAAATTGTTATAATACCCACCGAATGGTTGTGTTTTGTTTGCTTTTTAAAATTAAAACAAATAATTTTCAAATAGAAAAGATGTTGGAATGTTGGCATTAGAAAACGTTTGCGGTCAATTAAGCCGGAATAAACTCTCGGTAAACTTTCTCCCTAGTCAAAGCCGTGAACCAAAATTTTAAATTAGTCTTCCATCACCGTGTTTAAACAAAATATGAGATTGAACACGATTGATATCTTATTTCAAATGTAAAACGTTTTTTTACAACACTGCAAGGCCCTATGAAAATAACATCGATTCGATCGAATTATACAAATAAATCGGAGTTGAGCTCTGTCAACGGTCAAAAGTTAATTTTCTAACCTAATAATACAAACAAAAAACTATCTATTTCCACTTGCAAAATTTTGCAAAATATGTCTTTCCCCTGCGATTATGAAGACAAGTAACTTGTTTTATACAATAAAGCTTAACATAAAACGAAGTGAGAATAGAGCGCATGAAATTATTAAACGTTGCATTCAGTGGCATCGACGACCAGATATTTTGAACCAGTACCAATAGGTTATAATATCGATATCAACTAATGAGAACCACGCAAACTTAGTGTTTTTAGAGCATCTTCATAAGAACATGTTAATAAATAATTATGAATAAGTATTTTCATGGGCCCTTCAAAAAATTGATACAACGAGTTCAATTTTATTCACAATATTCACGTAGCAACCAATTAATAATCTCATGCAGAAGCATGCAAAGTTATTTAGCTCAAATAATACCACCCACATCGGCTAACTGGGTGGAAATTCGTCTAATATCTCAAACCGAACACCGCATTTTGAGTAATTATATCCATGAACGGCAGCAGATGAAGTTACATGGATTGAACAAAGCTGAAATCTATTGCGGGGTGCCAGCATGGTTTGTGGTTTGTTACATTGAAATGTAAAATAAAAGTAATGAATTGAATTTCAAACGCTACACTTTCGTTAAAGATTAAAATTTTGAAACACAAAAAATGCGCAATTATAGACAATCGCTTTTACAAGAACCCACAGGTTGTATGCCCATAAACTTACACACGCACATTTTGCACAATTATTTTCTCATACAATATAAATATAAACAATCATTTCACTTCTACAAGATGTGCAATTGGTACACTTTCTTCTCTTTTAATAAAGATGCGTATACATCTAAGTAACTATCTCAAACTTGTTCATTGTCGAGTATATCCAGGTCTACAATGTGAGAGAGTAAA